TAACCCACACTAGGCCTCGCGCGACCTCAGCAGCTGGGCGACTTGCATGACGTGCCGGCCACTTCCGATTTTCACTTTCCTTTTCTCGGGCCCGGCCGCTTCACCTCCACGGCGGCGGCCTGGGGATTTGCCCAGTGATCGGTGACGTCAAGCAGGCTGAAGTTTCCATTGGAGGGCGGAGTTCGGCAAGGGCCAATCCCAGGGCTGGCCCCGGAGAAATCTCGGCGGAGGGCACTGAGCGCCGGGAGACTGCTGGGCGGGGAGGCTGTGGTTCCTGCTGCTAGCTGAGGCGCTACACCCGCAGCCGCTTGCCGGAGAGGAGTGACCGGGCCCGGAGCGTGGCGCGGGTGAGTGCGGCCTGCACTGGTGGGACACGGCGGCTCCGCCTCGCGACCCGGGTGGGGACGGAGAAGGCGGCCGCGGGCCCAAGGCAGAGCTGGACAGGCCCGGGCGGGCAGGATGGCGAGCTCGGGTGCCCGCCGTGTCCCCGGCTCGCTTCTGGGCCTTTCGCCCTGAGCTCGCTGTGTTCATGGCTCTTGAGGTCTAGCCCAGACTTACTTCAGTCTCTTCCAGTCCCCAGATCCAGAAGTAAGCGGGACCCGGATGACGTTCTACCTGGTGGCTTGAAGCCCTGCATGACCAAAAGCAGGTCTCCACCTATATATTTTATTATTTATTTATTTATTATCATCTATCTATTTATCTATCGATTATTTACTATGTCAGTAAACTAGCTTGTACCTGGAGGTGTGTATAATACCTGATATTTACTAACTAATTAGCTTTAGGGGGAAGATAAGTGTGAAATAGGATGGTGATGGTGCATGCCTTTAATCCAGCACTCGTGAGGCCGAGGTAGAGGAAGATGGATCTCTGAGTTCAAGGCCAGCCTGTTCTACAGAGTGAGTTCCAGGATAGCCAGCAAAGAGAAACCCTGTCTTGAGACCTAAAAGAACAAAGAAATAGGATAAAAAGTATTAATTTAACTTTGTGGATTGAATGGGAGGGGACATTTAAAAATTTCTAGTACATTCCAGATTTTGATAATGCAACCATTTGTGTGTGCCTCAAAAAAGGGAAGAATGACATGTCTTCATGCATGCCTGAACCTCTTGTTTGTTAGGTGAAATCATGATCCCCAGAGTAGTCCTCCCAAGTAAAAACAAAACAAAAAACACCTTTTCTAAAAGCACACTTTCATTAATGTTTTTAAGACTGCAATTTGTTTTTTATTATTTATTATTATTATTATTGAGACATAGTGTTGCCATTTATCCGAAGATGGTCTGAAAGTGGCCGTGGCCACCCATGTTAGCCTTCCTCCTCTTGAGGGCTTGGATTAGAGATTACAGACATCGGCTAGGATGCCTGGTTGCCATCGTTAATACATTTTAAGTTTTAGAGCAGTTGTAGATTTACAGAAACATTGAGAAAACAGTCTGTAGAGGTCCTATATAACCTCAAACTGACTCCTCTCTCATTAACATTTTATACATGATTATCGGCCAGAGTCCACATATATTTATTCAAATTTCCTTTTTTCGAAAGAAAATACTTATCCCTCCATGTTCTCATCCAGATTACTGCATTGTATTTGGTTGGCTGTGGCAGTTTTTAAACTTTTTGTTAACTTTCAGAGTTTTGGGAGATACTATGTAATGGATACCTCAAATAATTATTAACCCACAAAGAAAAGGGCTTATTTTGGCTCACAGCTTTGGAGGTTCCAATCCACAGTCCGGTGATACCTATTAGTGAGACAGCTCATAGTAAGTACACAGTGAAACAAAACCACTCTTGTCATAGCCAGAAAAAAGAGACAGGGACAGACAGAGACAGACAGACACCCTCTGTGATGCTCTCTTAGTGATATTTTCCAGTAGTACCAATGCAAGGAACAAGTCTTTCTCTCATGGACCTTTGAGGGATACTACTGTGTAAACTCTACATGTACTTGCGTGGTACCCTCCTATTTTATGTCTTAAGATTGGGTTTATGTGTTAAAAGGATGGAATTAGGTTGCCATATTCACAGCACCTTAGCGAGGATTTCATGTTGTCAATATTTATAGTGACACTGCCCAGCTCACCTGGCTGAGTGCATGTTGGTTCTCTACACTATCAAATTCTGCACAGTTTTCTTCCTTTGCATACAGTATCATTTGGAAGGAAGTCGCTCTGCTCATCTAAGGAATTTGAGGGTTATGGATTTTAAATTATTCAGTATGGGAATTGTGCCTTCTTCGTTAATATATTTGCCCGTTTTTTGACTTGCAGGTATTGATTTTAGACACCAAATTATAGTCCAGTAGTAGTTTGTTTTGTTGCTCAAATTGGTACAGCTTTGACAATTGGAAGCTTACTGCCTCTGTGTCCCTCCTCTTTTGGGCATTTAGACATTTTTTTATGTCACCTTTCAAACTTCAAGCAAGTTGGTAAACTTGTCCAAACAATTTCTGTTGCTGTAGTTTTTTTCTTGCCAGGTTCCGCAGCTACCTCAGCCCAAAATAAGCACACAGATGCTATATTAATTATGAAACTGCTTCTTATTGACTAGCTCTGTCTTAATTATTAACCCATTTCTATAAATCTATGCATTTCCATGTGGTCTTGGCTTACTGGAGAACACCTGGTGTGTCCTGTCTTCCCGGTCTCTATATGGCATCTCCTTGCACTCCCTCTGCCTAGCTTTCCCAGAATTCTCCTTGTCTCCTAGCCCCGCCTATCTTCCTGCCTCTATGGGCCAATCTGTGTTTTATTCATCAACCAATAAGAGAAACATGTATACAGAAAGACATCCCCCATCAAATTTCTTCTCATCAAAAGACAAGGAAACCTAGAATTGGATCCATGGATAACTGGATTTGTTGCTCTTTCAGAGAACCTGGGTTCAGTTTTCAGCATTCATGTGTTTCATAACCATCTAACACCCGCCTCTGAATCTTGCAGGCACTGTATACACATGGTGCACATACATACAGGCAGACAAAACACTTGTACACACAGAACTAATCTAAAAACTTAAAAAAGAAGAAGAGGAAGAGATAAGGAAATTGAGTCTTGCCAGCCATAATGATGATTGCCTGTAAGGCAGAAGCAGGTGGCTGATCTCTGAATTTGAGACCATTCTGATCTACATAGTGAATTGAATGGAAGGCCAGCCAAAGGTGCATAGTGAGATCCTGTCTCAGAAAAAAAAGTTAAGGAAACTGCAGCACAAGGGGAGTGGATGACTTGTTACTTTCTATAAAAGAATAACAAGCAGGACTGAGACTGGATCTCTTACTGCACCAGCTCTGCAAACCTCAGGTGGAAGGCACCTTTTGAGTTCAGGCTTCAGGAGGTGGCATCTGACTTACACTCCCAGGATCACAAAAGAAAATACATGGGAAGGAGTTGTTTGTAGAAAGCAAAGGATTAGCTTAAGATTGGCATTTAGGGTGAAGTAGACTTTGGCCAGGTTGATAGAATATTGGAATGCCGACCTTCCCTAAGAGGGATGGGTAGGAGAAAATCTGGGTGTCTGTGACAGAAGATGGCTGATACTCAGATCCTGCTGCTGAAAAGGGCTTGTGAATGGGAATCTGATAGTTTCATGAAAATTAGGAGCACAGTGGGACTTAGAATCTGGGAATGGCATTTTATAGAGGTGACTCCATGATTTGGACTTGCTACTGGAGCTAAAAAGATCATTGAAGTATCACTCTTATTTTCACATTCTGATTGGATGAGAATTACCCCCCCACACACACACAATACTTACAGAGCAGTGTGATAGTATTATCATAGAAGTACAGAACTCACTTAGAAGGAACAGAGATAGGGACAGTTTTATTCAAGGCTGAACTGGGCCAGAGAGAACAGAATGTACAAAGACAGGATGAGTATGGGATGTGAAAGTCCTCTTGCTATGTTCTTACTATGGAGAACTAGGCAAGGTGAAGCAGGACTGGGGGCTGAATGTGTAAATTTGAGCTCCTCTCCCCAAAGGAGTTTATTTAGTATGTGTATGGGCACATGTGTGTGTGTGTGTGTATCAAGGTCAGAGAACAACTTGTTAAGAGTCAGGTGGTAGGTGCTGTTACCTGTTGAGCCTTCTCTTAGTTTGAAGTGGGTTAATCCACTTGTAGTCTGGACCTTTAAGGTAGGAAGACACATACCTTCACATACCTTTTATCTGGACATTGAGGCAGGAAAACAGAGGCCTTTAATTTGGATCTTGAGGCAGGAAGACACAATGCTTTAATCCAAATCTTGAAGCTGGAACACTCAATATGGGCCATACCTTCTGCTAGAAGCCCATATAAGGACATAAAAGAAGGAAGCTTTTGCTCTTTGCCTGCTTACCCTTGTCTCAATAGCACATCCTTTCCTTCACTGGCATTGGAGCCTACTTCTCCAGGATTCCAGCTATACAGAAGACCAGCTGAGACACCCAGCTTTGTGGGATTTAGCAACTTCTAGATTCTTAGACTTCTAGATTCTTAGACTTTCCATTCACAGCTAGCTACTGTTGGATTAGCTAGACTGAAGCCTGACTCCAATAAATCCCCTTTTTATGTATAGAAAGATCATTGCATAAGTTCTGTGACTCTAGAGGACCCTAATACATCACCCCTCATAAAATATGTATTGCTTCTGTGACTTTACACATGGAAGAATATTTTGCCAGTTAAATGATATGTGACATTGGTCACATACCAGAGATACTAAGATATAATATTATAACTGTCTCAACTTTGATGAAAAATGGTAACTCCCTATTAGCTTGTTTAGATGCTCTGCACCTAAGTCTGAACTTCCTGGATGCACTTGTGAGTGGATTTTGAGTCTACTGTCTCCATTTTTGAGACAGGGCCTCACCAGGTCCCTGGCTGGCCTAGAACACTTATGTAGACTAACCTGGCCTGGAATTCAGAGATGTACCTGCCTCTGCCCCTGGCCTCAGGATTAAAATTGTGTGCCACTATGCCATAGCTTCTGTTTGTGATGCCCACATCCTAAGGTCTCCCCATTCACAATACAGACTAGGTACAGTAACCTGGACTGAGGTGCACATAGGTTTGGTTTACTCTGTCTTCTCTTTCTATACAGATAGAATAGGAAAGCAACCTGTCCTTAAGCATGAAGAAGCCACCATTTGTAATTTCAGAAACATTGGTTTACCTGGGTATGGTGGCACCCACTTGGAATGCCCCCACTTGAGAGGTAGAGAAAGGAGGATCCAGGTATCATATCAGCCTTGACTATGTAGCAAGTTTGAGGCTAGAATGGAACAGACCTTGTTCTACAACAAACCCCCACTACATTGATGAACTGGCCCTTTCATGCCTGATAGCCTATTTGTGAACAATAAGTGCACTTCTCCTCCTCAAATTTCTGCTCCAGTGATTTCAGCCATCTCTTTTCTGCTTTGGTTGCTTCTTGCTGCTTGTAGTGGCTTTATAAGCTGAGTATACCTGCTGAACCTTACTTTCAGTTTGTGAATGGCTCTGTAATCCACACCTTTATTTCTTTATGATGGTATGGAAGCCTAGGAAAGTCAAGACTCTAGCCTTGTACTTCATAACAGTGTAGCTGAGGTGGCGTAACTAGGACTCTTTGGCACAGGTTTTGACTTCAGAGGATGGTAAAAGAGGCTTGGGTTCCCTACTCTGAATTCTAGGAGCCACAAGGAGGAGCTATGATATCCCAGAGCAGGCAGGCTGTGAGTCTGCTGTGTTCTAGAGGTTGTGCTCCCTTGTCTCAGGCAGTTGACCAGTGTTCTTTTCATAAATGGTTTGTGTATCTCAACCCAGTAACTTCTTGGTATCAGTCAGGTTCCCTCCCCCTTAAAAAACAAAACAAAACAGATGACAGACAAGTCCAAGCTGGAAGGGCAGAAAGAGGGTTTATTGGCTCATGGGACTGACAGGTTTAAGGGTGGGGCTAGCTTTGGGCACAGGATTTGAAAAAGTACTGTCAAGATATGCTTTTTCCCCTTCATCTCCCTAGATTGGCTTACTTCTCAAGAGATTAGCAGTCTTCACAGCAGGATGATTGCTCTGGGAGCTGCAAACCAAATGACTTTACCTCTTGAAAGTTCCCAAGAAACCACAAGAATTTTTGCCCTTTACCATCTAGGTCTCATTGTGATTCGTGTTTTTCCTAGAACCAAAGGGTGTGGGTTATTAATATACCCAAGACCGATGTTTTCGATTCACCCTGGAACTGAGGGAGAGCTCCACCCACCCTAAGCATGAACTCACCACAAATGAACTGGGGAGAAAGTTAGTCCGGAAAAAAGAATGGAAGGTCATAGGCCCCTTCCATCACCAGAGGGTAAACTTTAAACAATGTTTGCTAGTGGATCAAAGAGCACAATATCTATCCCTGCTTTCAGATTCCTTGCGCTGTAACTGTTGGTCTCTCCTGCTGTTTGTTTTCCTGTCTCTTTTCATGTTATGCACACATGATGGGATTCTGTTTCCTATCCACCAGCTTAGATAAGTTTGTAAAGCTGGTGGTACCAGGTGTTGATGAGTCTGTGGAACTGGTTGGTGGGAATGCACATCACCACATTTGCTTTGGAAACAACTTGGACCTTTCTAGTAAAATCAAGGGTATGACCATGTTTGTGTGTGTGTGTATGTGTGATTTGTGGTGTTTGCAATGGTCCAGACTGTAAATAACCCAGGTGGCCATCAGAAGTAGGAGCAGTAAAGAATTATAGTCACAGAACAGTAGTGACAATGAGCAAAGTCAGCACAATCACATGAGTGAACCCTCACTGCCGTGTTAGTATAAGCAGGATGGACTATCTGGAATTGGGATTCCATTCTTTGAATGGACAACTGGGGCGTGTGGGGGAGGGGGGAGCCATTGTTTATGGGTGCGTACCTAGGACTAAAATCTAAAGAAAAGGAAGAGAGCAATTACCACCATTATCATAAGCTAATTCCTCCACAACCATTTTCTTAGTTCCTGAACCTTGTCTACTCTGAGTTGATGATAGAGACACACGGCCTGTTTTGGTATGGTCAGGAGTTGCCAGAGGGGCTGGTGTTTGGCTGAGAACTCCAGCAGGAAAAGGAGTCAAAGTGGAAAGAGATGTCAGTGAGGCAGGGAAAAGTCCTGTACTCAAAGGTGTGAAGGCTCAGTTTCACTCTCGATTGAGATGGAATGGCAGGAAGTGAGCTAGGAGACACACCAGCAGGCCTGGGTTAACTGGAGGCTCTCAGAGTAAAAGGAAGGGAAAGGGTTTCGACTTCACTCCTGGGGTGCCAGAAAGCCATTTCAGGGTTTTTAACCAGTGAGCACATTGGCACTTTGTACTAAGTTGGATATGTTTGAGGGGCAAAAAGGAAGAGGGCCGTGGTGATTGGAGCAGTGCCAGCCGAGGTGAGAGGTTTAAGAGAAACCCTTCCGGGCTTATAGTCCCTGGTGTTGAATCTGGTCACTGCAGTCATCACAGAGGTGTCAACTATAGATGGCAAGGATTGTGTCTCCTGTCCCCTGCATAACCTCAGTTCCTGAAATACAGTGGACACCCAGTAAGTCATGCTTAAACCCTCTGTGGCTTCCCAAGGATGAAATTCAGAATTCTTTATCTGGCAGAGCTGGGCCTGAGAGAGCCATTAGTACAGGGTCAGGGGAGGAGAATAGGAGTGCAAGGAGTCATTTTTGTTACTGTTTTGAGACAGGGTCTTGCTACGTAACCTACGTTAACGTTGAATGTGTGCTAGTCCTCCTGCTTAACCTCTCAAGTCTGGGATGACAGGTGTGTGCCACCACACTCAGCTAGTACAGAATTCTTAATGTGCTCAGCTCTTTCATAATCTGTTTCCTACTTCTCCATCCTTCTCTGCTCATCCCCCATGTCCCATCCTAGCCACACTTCTGTTTATACTGCTCAGTTTACTACCCTACCACCCTTTCCCTCTGGGCAGTCTGATTCATCAGTCTTCCAGCCTCTCCCTCCACATGGCTCCCTGGGATGTTCACTTTGCAGGCAACAAAGGGCAGCGGTGGATGGGGGAAGGACCTCCACGTTGAGAAGTACCTCTCTCATTGTCTCTGCCATTCAGCAGACCAAGCCAAGGCTCTAACATCACCTTTCCATTTGTAATTAGTGGTTAAGCAAGAATCTCCATCACTAACAGATATTCGAATTGCCTTGGGAGTTTTTTGTGGGCTTTTTGTTTGTTTTGTCAATGTTTTCTTTTTTTTTTTTTTAACCAAAACCTGGGCTCCCCTCCAGAGATCCTGTTGATGGGGTGTGTGTTGACACCTCCTCAGGTGATCCTTAGGTGAATTGTTCTGCTAGATGATAAAGGGTTCCTTTTATAATTCCTGGTACAGAGCACAGATGTCTTCTGGGAATGTCATAGGCAACAGATATGAGGGAAATTTCCAATCACAAACACAGACACTTGCATATTTCTCCTAAGGTGTGGTACACAGGAGGTCAGTTGTAGAACTGGGTATTTTAAAGCCTTTTCTCATTGACCTCACAGCTTATAATATTGGGGAACATCATGATTGGTAGCCAGCAGGGGTGTAGCCATTTCTCTAATTCACATAGCCAGATCACTTGTTTTTTGCCCTCAAGTCTAACCTCTCCAGGTTTGTTAGAGATAGCTAGCTGAAATTTACTTAGATTGAGAAATAGGCTTTAACATGTACCCAGTGAGCAATTAAGTGGGGGTCTCACCGGATATGGAGCCTTAAGCTAAGTATCCTGGGATGGCAGGAAGAAGGGTTTCCTGTTGGGAGGTTCAGGGACATGTTTGAGGAGATGCTGGGGTAATTGAAAGAACCCCGAGAGTCTGACTGCAAACCTAGGCCCCTCTGCTTGCCTCTCTGGGCACTAGAGTCCACACCTGGGGACTCATCATTGTCTAGGATCTCTCTCTGGCTTGTAGGAGTTTGAGGCAGTAAGGTGCTAGATGTGAGGCCACAAGAAAGCACAGGTGTAGGGGGAAAATTAACACCTAGAGCAGAAATTGTGGCTGTGAAGAAGTGTGGGGCCAGAGCTTGGATACATTCCTTTTGGAACTAGGCTAGGACAGGTGTGGGAGCAATAGCACCAGTATCTGCCTGGGAGGTGTGGGTCCTCACAGTAACACTTCTTCATAGTGTTTGCAGCTTGTAGTGATTCTCACAGCCAAGAATCGTGCCCAGGATCCTTGCCAGAAATCTCAGTGTTGTTCCCCCCCCCCCACTCTCCCAGTGTGTTGCAGGTTAGGAATTTATGAGCGCTTCAACTTTGTAAGGGACAGGGGGAGACTCAGCAATGGATAGAGAGTATCCCCAGTTCCCTCTGCATGTCAGGATACTGCGGGCCTTGTTCGTAGCATCTCCCTACAATTCTGTGGAATTGTAGCTGGTACTGGCTTCCTGGATGGGCTAGAGGTATGCTGCTCCTGGAGCAGGGGTGTATGTAACTTCAGGCACAAGGTAATATGCAGTAGCTTCCCATGGAGAGGTTCTGATTTGCTCTTCTGCTGCTGGGATAAAACATTTTGACCACAGCAACTCGAGCAAAGAATTAATTTATTTCAGCTTACATTCCAGGTCACAGCCCATCACTGAGGGAAACCAGTGAGGAAACAAGAATTTAAAGGAACAGTACTTAATAGCTCACTCACTTATGCTCAGCTGCACGGCCCAAGACAACCTGTCTAGGGATAGTATTGCCTACAGTGGGCTGGGCCCTCCTCTATCAATAAACAATTAAGACAGTGTGCCTCTCAGATATGCCCACATGTCTTATTTAGGCAATCCTCGGATTGAAGTTCCATCTTCCAGGTGACTCTAGGTTGTGTCAGATTGCCAATAAAAAACAAGACGTGGCTGTCCACTTAGGATGATAATCATGCCTCTGCCTTTCTATGCCCTGAGACAGGAATGGAGGGGAGGATAATGTTTGCATCATCTTATTGTAGAAACCTGTGGAGATGATCAGAGAGAACAAGGTTGAGGCATATTTGATAAAATGGAGAACATGGTACCTGGCAAAGGTACTTTAAGAATCCCAGACAGAGCCATACACCTGTAATCCCAGTACTCAAGAAGCAAACACAGGAGGATAAGGCATTCAAGGCCAGCCTGAACTACTTAGTACTGGGATCCTGCCTCATCAAACAAAATACAAGATTTTGTGGAGGGCAGTTTGCATTTGGCCTGACAGAATAGGTTTGGGAATGGGTGTGGTATGCTTTGCACCTCCCCGACACAACACACACACTCAGTCACACACTCACACACATTCTCACACACATTCGATCTCATACTCACAACACTCACACACACACTCACACACACTCTCACACATACTCATTCACACACACTCATATACTCTCATACACTCATTTACACACTCTTTTTTACACACACATACACACACACACACACACACACACTTTGCTCTTAATTCTGCAAGGTTGAGCTCCTTCCATCACTGAAAAGCAAAAAGTGCTGTCTGATCAGGAATGCATGAGTCAGCTTGTAGTGAAGGCTAGGGTGCTCTCAGTCACCTCTGAGGAATACACGCCCCTTTCCTTTTAGCTCTGCTCAGTTTACTAAGCATTCTGTGTAGATGAGCTCATCTTGGAGTTGATCAGAGGATCCACTTGCTCTCAGGCCCCGTTTCACTGTGCTGTGGTAAAGAAGTGGGTTGGATCATGCTGAAGTTTTGGCACTGGGACTGCTTCCTAGCCCTATGCTCTTTGGCAGAATGTTAACAGGCCCAAGCCTCAGCTTCCTTAGAATAGTATCCTAATTGTGAAATAGCACATATAAATGGCAGATTCTACTGCCCTGAAATTGTTGGTCCCTGGTTATTGGATTCCAGAACCCGAACTTTGAACCTGGAATATTCAAGTTTTTGAGTTTATACCTTTGGTCTTATGTGTAACATGAAGAGGAGTCTTTGTAGCCAGGCAGTGAGTGGGGTTGGATTGTCCGGTTATAGTGACCTACAAACAAAGGCCTGAACAAACTGCATGGGCTTTGGTTGTTCCGACCCTTGTATTAGTTCAGTAGACGTTAGTTGGGTTTTCAGTACTCTGGTTTCAACAATTCTGGTGGTTACAGACCTTTTTAATGCAATAGAAAACTATAACTGCTTCCCCCATTTTTTTTTGTATAGTTTTGTGAAACCACATTGATGTAAATTATAGTTATGTACCTCTAAATATTGTAGCATCTGTTGCTGAAAATCAGAGGTTTCCATATAGTTTCAGTAAGTGCCATTAAGATGATTTACATTTAAATTTTTCTTGCTATTCCCTGAAGTGTTATTATAACTACTCTTTGAAGCCAGAATCAAGGCTAAACTTATCTTTTGTACTTGCTTGTTACTATTGTGATCTTTTTTAGTTTTATTGCTCTTCCCCGCCGTGTGTGTGTGTGTGTGTGTGTGTGTGTGTGTGTGTGTGTGTGTGCAACTTGCACAAATTGGTTCTTCTACTGTGTGGATCATAGGGATCAAACTCAAGTTGTCAGTCTTGGCTGCAGATGCCTTTATCTCCAAGCCATTTCACTATTTATTTTTACCCTGGTCTTTTTAAAAGACCAATTGGTTTGTGGATTCTTCAATTCTGGATATGTCTGATTGTTTCCCCACGACATGATTTAACTTAGTGCTATTATTAGCACCTTCTCTGTGATAACGTAGTACAGTGTTTTTAAAATTGCCTGTCTTCCATAAACTGAAAGTTAAATCTAAAGGCTTGATTAAGGTCAACCAAGTCAAATATTTTTGGCAAGAAAATGTCATAAATGATGTTTGTTTTTGTTTGACTTTATTTCTTTTTTTTGTGTGTGTGGTATTTTGCCTGCATTTTGTCGGTGTACATATGTCTGGAGAGGCAGGTTGTCATATTCCCTGGAGCTGGAGTTATAGACAGTTGTGAGCTTCCATATGGGTGCTAGGAACATATCAAACCTGGGCATCTGGAAGAGCACCAAGTGCTCTTAACCCCTGAGGCAGCTCTCTCGCCCCAGGTGATGGTGCTTAACTAGTATAGTTCCTCATCAGGAAACCTGTGCCAGATCGTTCCTGTTTAGTGGTGGCAGGTTTGGTTGCTTGGTTAAGTTGACCACTGGATTTCTCCCAAATCGAGGTATTAGGAAATGATTCACTGTGGCATTGTAGGGACTGCCCCAAACCTTTCACCTAATGCCCTTGACATCTGTTGGTGACATTTGTGTTGTTACAGTGGCAGTTGCAGAATGCTTATATTTTCTCTCCACTCCCTTGAGCTGAAAGGGGGCCTCCCTAATTCTAAACAGAATATACCAATCAGGTGCTGTTTTAGCTATGCCTCAATATCTAATGCTGCTAACCCTTCTCCAGCAATTACCCACTGGTCTTCTGCAGTTCTGCAGTGTTCACTATAATATACACAGTGGTTTTTATTCAGCTTAAAGAGATCTAAAGACTCTCTAGACACAGCATGAGCTGGTTTAATGTGGGCTTCTAGTGGTGAAGGCGTCATAGGAAATTGTAAATTCTGTCCTTGGAGGTACCCCCTTCTTTCCAGCAGACAAACAAAAACAACAAAAAGCTGGCCTGGCTTTTAAACTTCCAGGCCGTTCTACAAGTGGCTAGAAAGGGCTTCTGTCCACAGGAGCCCCACAGTTTCATTTCCTCTGCAGTGTGTTAAACTGAGAGCACGGGATCAGCCATTTTCCTCATAGAGCAAACCAAAGGATTAGGTCAGACACCCTCAACATTTCTGCTAACGTTCTGGGGACTCGAAACATCTTCATTTGCCAGTTGAATTTCATTTCAAGTTGGTATGTACAGTTTTTTGCTCATTATATATATATTTTTAAAGTCACATAGTTAAACCCCAGGTTGTTTTGGTTCATGTTCTCAGCAGTATAATTCCTCTTGTTTGCATAGTGCTGTTACCTGCAGAGCACTCTTATATATTATCACACCAGACCCTTAAGGAATAAATGTTGTATTTTCTCCTTGGGCCATGTGGACTGTAGTTTTATGTCTGTGTATTTGCTGTCTTTCTCAGTGAAGTCTGCTGGGCTCTGTTGATGGACTCCCAGTCGTACCCCTTAGTGACAGTGTTGTGGTCCCAGCATTGCAAGCCCTGCATGGTTACCATCCCTATGTCCATAGCAGAGCTACCTTCCCTGCCCAGCATGGGCATTGTGTGCCATTAGCTGGGGCAGGGCCTGCATTCTTGGTGCAGCTTCCAGTTTCAGCTCTTAGATTTCACCCAGTGGCTGAGAAGCCAGGAGTCTGGGTTCTCTCCCTGCTTTCCTTCTATGAACCAGGCTTATCCATAGTGTTCCCGACAGAATTCTTTTCTATCACCTGCTTAGAATCCCCGGTTGCCTCTCGCTCTTTCCTTTTATGGATGGATAAACTGAGGTTCAGAATACCCCTGACTTTTCTGTTGTCACAGAAGTAGGAAGAGGGCCAGAGCTGTGAAGGTTGAGCTTCTGTGACCCTAGAAGGATCGTGCCTGTACAACCCAGAGCAGCCACAGAAGATTTCTTCTTCCTGGCTCCCTTGTGATCTCAGCTTGAACAATCATGGGCAGGGGTGCCACTCTTCCCCTTCACTGAGCCTGCTCTTGCTTTTAGGTCTGGTTTCTGAGGAAGAAAACCCTACCAGGGAACAGAGACCCACAAGCTAAGGGCACCATGGCAACGTCAGCCCCCTTGAGGAGCCTGGAGGAGGAGGTGACCTGCTCCATCTGCCTGGATTATCTGCGGGACCCAGTGACCATCGACTGTGGCCATGTCTTCTGCCGCAGCTGCACGGGTGATATCCGTCCCATATCGGGGAGCCGCCCAGTCTGCCCTCTCTGCAAGAAGCCCTTTAAGAAGGAGAACATCCGGCCCGTGTGGCAGCTAGCCAGTCTGGTAGAGAACATTGAGCGGCTGAAGGTAGACAATGGCAGGCAGCCTGGAGAGCTGGCCCGAGAGCCACAGGACATGAAGTTATGTGAGCGGCACCAGGAAAAGTTACACTACTACTGTGAAGATGACGGCAAGCTGCTGTGCGTGATGTGCCGCGAGTCCCGGGAGCACAGGCCCCACACTGCAGTCCTGGTGGAGAAGGCTGCCCTGCCACACAGAGTAAGTCCTCTGGCCAAAGGGCACTACAGGCCTGGCTGGGGATGGGGGTTGGGGATTCTGTCTGGTGTCCCTCCTGCCACGGCTCAGGACGCTCATCTCCACTGCTTGTCTTTCCCCAGGAAAAAATTCTGAACCACCTGAACACCCTAAGGAGAGACAGAGAAAAAATTCAGGGCTTTCAGGCCAAGGGAGAAGCAGATATTCTGGCTGCACTGGTACGTGGAAATCATGGCTTCCAGGGAGGGACCAGGAGGCAGGAAGTATTTCTAGAAGTACTTTGAAAGTATGGGTGCTAGGCTGGCTTCAGGCCAACTGAGGCTTACCCAAGTATAGGGAAGGTTGCCTACCTTGTCCCTATAGGAACTGAGGAACCTGACTTTGGACTCTTTCTAAGATGTGATTTCCTCAGTAGGGGGGTGGGGGACAGTTAGGAGGGGGTGCTAGCTTCAGGGTAGAGGAAAGGGACAAGGATGGCCGGAGAAGCTCTGATTGAGGCTGTCTAGTGAGACTCAGGCCTACTATAAGCAGTACAGAAGACTGGTAGCACATTGTGTGCTCTTGATTAGACAGGTCTGGAGGGACAGCTGATAAGGTGGGTCCAATCCTGGGGGAAGCATGTTTGTTAGGAAAATTGGCAGTGGAGGGATTCTGGGGTCAGACCTAGCAGTATGTAGTCAGGTTGTGAAAGAGAGAGTAAAGCTAGGGACAACTCAAGTCCACAAAGTACCTCTAGATCCTGGTGTGCTTGGATACCCTCATTTACTGAGAGGGACTGAGGACTCAGATGGACCCAAGCCTACAGGACAGGACTTGGTCCCTGAGTACTCACAGCCCAGCCTCATCAAGGAAAGAGGGCACAGTCCCTCATGGAAGGGGTGGGCGCACTTAGTATATACAGAGTGGTGGGGATGTTGGAGGGGGATGATTGAGTGTGGACTTCATCCCATAAGCAGACCTTCCCCAAAGAGGCAACACAGGGATATTGCCTAAAAGGGTGGTGTCCTTAATGGGTCACATTGGCTGCCTTTTGCTCCAAGACATACTGGTCATCTAGAACAGATGGTGACAGAGTAGTCAGGCAGGGTTGGCTTTGAGAGCAGTGAAGGGAATATACCAAACGATGGGTCTCAAGGAGAAGGGGGGAGCAGGAGCACCCCAGTGACTTCCTACCCAAGGACTAGGAGTCACAAGCAAGGGTCTCCAGAGGATTGAGAGGGCCTACGGGTGCCTCATACATATCCACACCCACCTCTTGCCCTTTACAGACGAAGCTGCAGGAGCAGAGACAGTACATTGTGGCAGAATTTAAACAGGGCCACCAGTTTCTAAAGAAGCGCGAGCAGCACCTGCTAGACCAGCTGGCCACCCTAGAGCAGCTCCTCACCGAGGGCAGGGAGAAGTTCAAGACCCGGGGCGTCAGCGAGCTTGGCCGGTTGACTCTGGTCATCTCTGAGCTGGAAGGCAAGGCACGGCAGCCAGCTGCAGAGCTGATGCAGGTGAGAGGCCCAGGGGCCCAAGTGGGAGATAGGGTAGGGCCTGCTCTGCCACGTCTTTCTGGCTTTTGAAGAAATTCCTCTTCCGGGGTCCTCAGTTTTACCATCTAAAATAAAGAGCCGGGTATAGTAGTTTTGTCCTGTCATTCCACATAAGCTTAAACACTGTCATGGTATCACTTTAGAAAAATAATCATTATCTGAAAAAAACTGTCTAAAAGATTTCAAAGTGCCATAGAACTGAAGGTCTTTGTCACCATTCCCCTTCTGCGGCGGCACGAGACCTCCATTCTAGCCCTCCTGGCAACAAGCAGACATTTGTTGTTTTTGAGGCAGTCTTACTGTGCCGTTCTGTCTGTCCTCAAATTAAAGGCAGTCCTTCCATTGCACCCTTCTGAGTGCTGGGATTGTAGACGTGGCTGAGGCAGGTGTTTATTTGGGAGATGCCTTACATGGTTCTGGACACGAGGAAAGGTGACTGAGGAAAGGGTGAGCTATGTCTGTCAGGATCCCAAGGTGCATGGAAGGGGAAGGCAAGTGAAGATAGATGGGAGGTTTCTTGTGGACATTGGAGCATCATCCTAGAGAACAAATTGGTAAGTGTGAGTGGTGTTTCAGGACAGGGAGTGAGAGCAGGCTGTTGGGTTTCACTGATACACCTCCTCCTGGCACTGTCCAGAGGAATCAGGCTAAATGGGCTGTCTGCTAATTTCTGACTCTGGTTTGAGGTACTGAACCTTTCTGCCAGCAGAGGACACACAAAGTTCTCTAGGAAATAAGGTTCCAGGCCAGTGGCAGGGGAAGAGAGATGGTGATGCCAGTCCCCAGCACAGGCTGCATAAGCAGGAGGCCTCTCTTTGTAGCAGATTGAGCCACATGTGAGGGGACTGACTAGTCCAGGCCCTGGGGCAGAGTAGGAATGAGGTCCAACTCAAGCCTGGAGCCCTGCTCCCAGGCTTTGCACTCTTCACTTTGTCCCGTGTCCTCCTGTGTCCTTCCTTTGCTCGAGGCATTGCTTCTTCTCTGGATTTCCTTTGTCAGCTTCTAGGTCACTGTCTCCTCTTCCATGTCCCACTTCTTTCCCTCAAGGAGCACGTCAAACTCCCAGCAGCTCTTCCATGTGTAGATAAGAGTTGTGAGCAAACCGGCTGAGCTGTGCTGGTGTTTGTCACCAGTTTGTCTAGAGAGCATTTCCCCCTGATCTACCCTGGAAATAGCTACTATGTAGAAGCCCCAGTCTGTACCTCAGGGCTCTGCCCCTGAAGCTCCCATGGTGGGGTGTCTGTTTAAAACCATGACACAAAATGCTGGTGTTAGCAGATTTTGTCTGTATTTGAGTGTTCCTGGAGCAAAGCTCCTGAAACTTCTGGAATAGTCCTTAACAGCCACAATTCAATGATTGCATTTGTTTTCCAAATTGTGCCTCCCTGAGAAGCCAACCTGTCCTCTCCCCATCCTCTTTCACCCTCCACTAATATGGTATGATTTATATATATGTGTGTATGTGTGTTTGTGTATGTATATGTATATATATATATATGTATGTATATATTATGTTGATTTTTTTCCCCCTCTTTTGTCTGCTTCCCTCTGCTAGGATGCCTGCTCTACACAGGTAGGGATTTGCCTTTTTTTTTTTTTTTATTGTTACTTCAAACTTCTAGATTGGTGCTTGCCTGGCACAAGGAATCACTTAGCAAAGGTTTGTGGAATGAGCTAAAGGAAGATGAAAAATCAGTCAACACAGAGAACTGTGGAGGCTTCAGGCTTTACCAAAGCACCATCTGCCAAGATGCTCCTGCTTTCTCTGTCCTTCCATGCATCTTTCCCTCATGCAGACATTACCGCTGTCTTCTTCCTGCACAAGGTGCCTGACCTTAGTGACCTTGGCCAGTGTATCCACTTGAGTTGCTCTAAAGCAGTCATGGGATGCTCAGGTTTTCTTTTGCGCCCTCTGCTGCCATCTCCGACTCCCTGTTCCCATTGCCTCCTACCACTATTTGCCAAGGGTCAGCCAAGTGACCTAGAGTTTCTGCTAGTTGCTGCTCAATAGCTCATATAGAGCAAATTTCCCTTTCTGTTTTTGCAGCAGTTCAGAGGTGTGTGTCTAGAGACATGCATGCAGTCATTCAAGAGCTGGCTCATTTCTAGCTGACAGTCGAGTCTTGGGAATATTGTTCTCAGCCATGCAATTTGAGTTGGATTCATCACTGTGTTCAAAATTCGGCCAATGAGAAGAAAGGAACTAGAAAGCAATTTTATTTTTTAAAGAACAAGAATGAGAAGTATTGGTTGTTTCCCCCCTACATCCCATTGGAACTTGGTCACATGATCAGACATGATTATAGGGGAATGTGGGAAATGTAGTTTCTTGACTGGTTACATGTCAGACCAGAAGTTAAGGAGTTTAGTATTATAAAAAAGGGGAAAGGAATTATAAAGAAGGTAAAATGACTTAGCAGTAAAGGCAGCTGCTGCCAAGCCTGGTCACCTGAGTTCAACCCACAAGTTGAGCACAAACTCCCAAAAGTTGTCCTTTGATCTCCACATACATTGTGTTTTAGAACATACCCATGTATGCATGCGCGTGCACGCGCGCGCGCGCGCACACACACACACACACACACACACACACACACACACACACACGCTTAAAAGTGGGGAGGAGGAAAGTGGGTGCCAGGGGATAGTTGACTTTTATCCCACTGTGCGTAGAATACAATTCAACACCATCACCCCATCCTGCCTAGTGTGGTCTGGCCCTGCCTCCTCTTTAAGTCCTTTCCCTTTTCTCACCAGTCTGCACCTGGCTAATACTTTATCATTCTTCAAATCTTAGCTTAAGTGTCTCCTTGGAGAGGCCAGGCCATTTGCCATCTCTAGTTTTTTCTGCCCTTATATTGTTTGTTCATTTATTTTATTTCATTTTATATGTATGGGTGTTCTAACATGAATGTATGGCTGTACACCACTTATATGCTTGGTGTCTGTGGAAGCCAGAAGAGGGCATTGCTTTCCCTGAAACTGGAGTTATTGATGGTAGTCAGCTGCTGTGTGAGTGCTAGGAATCGAACCTGGATCCCCTGAAAGAGTAGCCAGTGCTCTTAACCACTGAGCTATCTCTCCAGCCCGTTGTTTTCTAGTCTTACTAGACTGTCAGTTCCCTAGGGAAAGAAGTCATGTGTGTTTTGTTTGCTCTTGTGTGCCTGCCTGTTATGGTGTTGACTTAAGGATGTAGTTTTTTTACCTAATTGACTTTGATGCTTGTGTTTCCTTCCTTTGCAGGACACCAAGGACTTCGCCAACAGGTAGGAATTTCATTTGCTCATTGTATTCTCTCCATTTCTATGACTGTGGTCCATGTAAATGATGGGGAGTGATAGGATGCCAAAGGCAAGGCAGCCCTTGTTTCATCCCATGGCCTTGGAGGATTAGAGGCTGGTCTCTCCCAGCGTGATCTCTGAAGTTCACTGTCTTTGTCTGAAGCACAGTGAGAGAGCCACAGCCTGGCTTGGTAGACAGTGCTTACTTGTGTAATCTGATGGTGGTCTTATGTCCTTGGTCAGTTTTTCTGTCTCTTAATTAGGGATAATCAAACCTTTCCTGCTCACTTTATAATTGTCTCGAACTCTGGCAGAAAAGCAAGAAGAGCCAAAAGACAGGTTGTTGTGCCCATCACGTTTTCAGGTACCCACGGAAGAAGTTCTGGATTGGGAAAGCCATCCCTCACATGGTTAAAAGAAAGGCAGGAGAATTCTCAGATAAACTTCTCTCTCTTCAACGAGGCCTGAGACAGTTCCAAGGTAAGCACTGGGGACAGCACCTGGCTGGACCACACTTGGAGGTCTCCTGGCGTCCCACCTCCATTTTCTCCCATTATCCTTCCAAGGAGTTCTAGCTTCTGTTTCTTTCCTCCTTGGGATCTCCAGTGGAGCCCTGTCCCATAATTAATACCAAGTAAGAAATGGGTTCATGAGTTTGCTGATCTGAAGCTCATTTCTATCTTCTTTTTTTTTCATCCTTAGGCAAGCTGCTGAGAGACCTGGAGTATAAGACAGGTGAGTAAACAAAACACTCTCCCTGTGGAATCCTCACTGGCATTGCCCAAAAGGTGGCCCCACCCCTTACATTTTTGACCAGTGTGTAGTCTGCAGTGTTAATGACCCTTTGGTGTCATAGGTCACACTTCTAGTCCTCCTCACCATATGGTCTTCTCAGAGCAAACAGCAGTGCTAGCCCAAGGCCAGAGATCATCCTGCCCAGACCAGACCTGTGCTGTGTGTGCCGAGTGCCTCCGGTGACCATAGTTCACAGAGACTGATATAAATAGCAGTCTGTGGACTGTGCAGTGAGTGAGGCAGCACTGACACTGTGGAGACTGGCCTCCCCTTCCCAGCCCACCACTGATACCGTCACTTCCTCCCTTGTCCTACAGTAAGTGTCACCCTGGACCCGCAGTCGGCCAGCGGGTACCTGCAGCTTTCAGAGGACTGGAAGTGCGTGATCTATACCAGCCAGTACCAGAGTGACTGCCTGCACCCCCAGCAGTTTGACTGTGAGCCAGGGGTGTTGGGTAGTAAGGGCTTCACCTGGGGCAAGGTGTACTGGGAAGTGGAGTTGGAGCGAGAAGGCTGGTCAGAGGATGAGGAGGAGGGGGAGGAGGAGGAGGAAGGGGAAGAGGAGGAAGAAGATGAGGAGGCTGGCTATGGGGATGGATATGAAGACTGGGAAACAGATGAGGATGAGGAATCACTAGGGGAGGAAGAGGAGGAGGAAGAGGAAGAGGAGGAGGAAGTTCTGGAAAGCTGCATGGTGGGAGTGGCCAAAGACACCATGAAAAGGAAAGGAGACCTCTCCCTGCGGCCAGAGGATGGTGTGTGGGCCCTTCGGCTCTCCTCCTCAGGCATCTGGGCTAACACCAGCCCCGAGGCCCAGCTCTTCCCAGTGCTTCGGCCCCGGAGGGTGGGCATCGCCCTGGATTATGAAGGAGGCACTGTGACATTTACCAATGCAGAGTCACAGGAACTCATCTATACCTTCACGGCCACCTTTACCCGGCGCCTGGTGCCCTTCCTGTGGCTCAAGTGGCCAGGAACACGCCTCCTGCTGAGACCCTGAATTCTACCACCTGCCTGGGTCACACTACAGATTCTTCAGTTCTCTGAGATGAAGAAGGGTTGCCTGGATCCCATACCCGTTGAAACTTCCTTTCTCTGGGATCCCAAGACTGTGAAGGAATGTTCTTGGCCAGAGCACCAGGGGGAGAAAAGAGGAATGGACATCACATCCAATTGCCACGTCCTCTCTCAGTGCTGTCCCTTCATCTGTGTTTCCTGTTGTAGCTTCTCACCATCCTGCCCATTTCCTCTGGGATCTCCTGCTCTGAAGACCAAATGATTCCCTCCTTCCTGACCACCCATTTGTCTTGGCTCTGTGTTCTTTGTTGAGTAGGGGCAGCAGCAGCATTTTCTGGTTCAGTTGTTAACCCACCACTCACAGGTATTGAGGGAGACCCTCAGTGACACTTGAAGCAAATTTTGCTATTTTCAGATTTGAGGTTCCCCTTGCCAGAAACCACTCTGTTGCTTACCTTCTTAAGCTCACTTTTCCTACCCCACCAGAGTTAAATGTCTGAAAGAAGCAGGAAGTCAAGATCACTGAAGTGTCCAAGGCTGTGTAAGTTTGTGTTTTAGAGAGCTGGTGGAATCATCTCCTGATGTGGTTTGCAAAGCCCCTGGCCTCCAAACCCAGAGCTGAGGGGGTGGGACTCCCCAGGGCCAACTGTGTTTCTGAAAGTATCTAGGTACTGTGACTCAGGCAGCAGCTTTAGTCAATAAATTACCTCTTTAGAGTAGTCCTTGTGAGGGGAGTTTTTAAAATAATACCAACATCTTGCTCTTGATCAGTGGTTCTAAAAACACAGAGGCCACTACCCAGGAGGTCAGAGCTACCTCTGCCCCAGTCCCCAGCTAGTGTGTCTGGGATAGCTTTAGGCCTCTGTTGTTGACACCAAGGAGTGTCCAGAATCACTTTCATAGGTGGATTGGAGGAAGGAAGACAGGATGGTGAGGAATCTTGAGAGCCCCCATCCCAGGTCTTACTGTGAAGAGAGGGCCTGCAGTGTCTTCTCTGCTGACCCATTACCAGCCCCTTTGTTAGTCACCCAGTGCCCACAGTGGAGCACCAGCTCCTGCTTAGCCAAAACAGTGCCCCTCTTTTTATCCTTAAACACTCCACACTTCCTCTGCCTGTCCAGGTGTTAAGCTCCTCTTTGCTCTTGAGAGGCTGCTCCCAGACACTGGATCTTGGTGGCCTTAGAGTCACCACACTGTCTCAAGACTGAACACTTTGTACATATCACATGCTGCCTGAGTCACTAGTACATATACAGTGGCTCCCTCACCAACCTTTTGTTTTTCCTGGAATTAATCATTGCTCTTCTCTTCCTTCTCTTTTAATTCATTTCCTGTGTCTTTATTACTAAATAAACTACAAGTTCTTTTCAGTGATCAGAAATCTCAAGACAGTCATCTGGTGCTGTCTCCATTTTTTATCTTGATGCCTCTGAAGTGACCTTGAACTTGACTTGTTGCTCCCTTTCTAGATCCCCTTTTGTCATCAGACTGGGTGTTCTGGATCCCACCCACCCCCCGGCCCCGTAGCCCAGGTAGTCTCAGTCTCATTATGTGGCTGAAGATGACCTTAAACTTCCAAATTCTGATATTCAAGTAGGTGCCACTATGCCTAGTTCATACAGTGCTGGGGGCTGAACCCACAGTCTCATGCATCCTAGGCAAGCACTTCCCTCAGCTACATCCCCAACCATGGTCCTATTTCTGGACCCCGTGCTTTCTCTCCCAATTTACTGTGTTTGGGTCACACATTATCTAACAATGTCCTGAGGTGACTGGAAGTCAAATTCTTTTTTTTTTTTTAATCTTTAGTATCTACAAGTGTTTATCTCACTTGTATGCTTCAAAATAGTTTTCCTTCAAAATGTCAGAGGATTACTTTACTGCCTTAAGCTCCTATTATTCGGAATTCCCATGGAGCACTCTGCCTCAAGATGTTTATCTGTGCCCTGTTTCTGTTTTATAAAGAGGTTTGGAAATCTTATCTACATCCTTACTTCACATACTAGCACATTCCACAGTGAATGGCACATTTGAACACACTCAAACGCACACAAGATTGCACATACATACATACATACATACATACATACATACATACATACAATTAAGGGACTGGACAGGATCTCAATATGTAGCCCTCTCTAGCCTGGAACTAGACATGGCTGGCCTGACTCACTGGGTGAGATTTATGCACCTTGGCGAAGGAAAACATTTTTTTAAAAGCACCTGAGGCAACCTAGAAGAAGGTTTATTTTGGCTCATAGTTCTGAAGGTGTAATCCATGGTTGGTGGTCTCAGTGCTTTTGGCTTTTGTCATGGCAACATATCCTGGCAGCCACACATCATCGGTTGGGAAACAGAATGAACCAGGCTCCCATAGTCCCCTTCCAGAGCACACCCCAGTGACCTAAAAACATTCCACCCTGGAGGGTCAGTCAATTAATGGGATCATTCAGAGGCCTTGAACATTGGAACTGAAGAATCATGCCCATCCTAGCTCCAAGTTGTCACAATAGACAGATTAGACACAAAACACAAAGGTCTGTGGGTCACATAACTTTATTAGGACATTCAAAACCTGTATGCATGGCCTGAGAGGGCTTTGGGGTCCACCCAGAGTTGATGAGGCTCCAAAGCATGTCCTGCTTTGTGTCCAAAAGCCACTATAAATTAATGCAAGCCAAACAGAGTCCTGGCTTCCCTACTCTGCTCGCTGTGAGGCTTTTACTAGTTTGTGTTTGTTTTTCCCTTCTAAATCCCATTGGCTCTTAGCTTACTGTTGTCTAGGTTGTAGCCTTCCTTGCCTGCCTCTGGTTCAGAGAGAACATCGTGTCCAAGAACAGGACTGCAAGGAACTGAATTTACTTGACACATAAATTAAAAACCACCATGCAAGGTTCCAAGACACTGAATTCCAGTGTCACTTTGGAATACTAGGGACAGAGCTGGATTCCTGGGTGCCAGTGTCCCTGCCATACTTCCTTGGCTCCACCCCAGTCGTTCGAAGTCAGGCAAGGAACTTGTTTCCAGGTGAGGTAGGAGTAGAGAAAGAGATGGTAGTTGGTGCCCTGGTATGGGACATTTGCAGGGTCTCTCACCCTGCCTGATAGTCCAGGGCTATGTCTACATCGAAAGACAGCTGTATCTCATGGTTCGAGACAGGTGGGTGCAGGCCAGCTGGAACAAGAACACTGTCCTTGGTGTCCAGCGCCTGCTCTCTCCCCACCCTGGCCCCCACCTCCTGGGGCCATTCACATGGTGCAGCTGACACTCAGGTAGACATCAAGTCTTCGAAGTGGACCAGGCTCGGGTCCAGAGTGACTTCACACACACTTCCAGGATGGAGCATCATCCATGCTACCTGCTTCTTAGGCTTCTATTTCTGGAGGACAGGTGTGACAGCTCGCCTGAGAATTTGCTGCTTAAAGTGAGGTGGTCAGGCCACATTGTAGTGCCTAGGATCTTGTTAAAAGACAGAATCTCAAATCCCACCACAGACACCTAAAGAAGAGCCTGCATTTTAATCAGATGTCTGAATGTTGATTCTACAGTAAGTTAAAGAAATGGGGATCAATGTAAGATCAGGCAAGTTTTCTGGGAACAATTAAGCTCCAATTTGAAAGTAAATGCTATTTTTGGTCTCCCTTCCCCTCCCCCCATCCCTATTTTGTAGTCCTGGGGCATTATGCATTTTAAGCAGAAAGCCATTAATACAGCCCTAGAGCCCAGCCTTATCTTATCCATCTCCCTCCCCCCTCTCCAGAAAGGATGTCAGTAGCTGAGGATGGCCTGGAACTAACTCAGAACCCCAGAGTAATCTCAAACTTGTGACTGCCTCTGGGATTGTAGCTGTATGCTACCACACCCATCAAAATGCTAGTTTTTAAATAATATATAATAATTGTTCAAATCTATGGAGATTCTAGCATAATTCTAAGCAAAGCTTGGGCTTAATACATACTTTGAATGAATATACCGTATTCTGACAATGAATGAATATACTGACAACATTCATCGATCACTGTCCAGTACTGTGCTGAGCTCTTTGTATACATTAATTAATTTAATCCTCACATGGATTTATAGTGTAAGTTTTACTACTGTTTATATTTTATGGTGGGGAGAAAAAGCTTAATAGACCCGAGACCCCAAGCAATCAGGGTCCAGGTGAGCACATTTTGTTGCTGTTTGTGGCCGTCGGTGGAATGGATAAATGGGTGGGGTGGGGGGACCCAGAGTCCTCATTGATTACCTGAATCTGTTTCCAGATGATGTATCAAGTTTTCTGAGGAAAGCAGAAAGAGAAAGATCTGTGAGACTCACTATCTCCTACAGATACTCCCAAGGAGAGGGTGTCCTGGCTACAGTATGAGGACAGGGACAGAAGAGAAATTGCCTCACTTTCTTGGACTCTTAAGCCCAGTGACTTTTTGCTCCCTCAGTAGAGTAAGGTCTTATGGGAATTTCTGGGGAGGGAAGATACTTAATCCAAGCTGTTTGCTTATTTTTATTTAAATTTCACTATCTAGTCCAGGCTGGCCTAAAACTTCTGGGATCCTCCTTATGTCAGCCTCCCTGGTGCTAGCATTACAGGCATGCTTAGTGGTTTGAACCAGGTTTTGAAGTTGGGAAAAAATAGACACAGATGGAAGGTAGAAGAGTCACTTTACCCGAGAATGTCCTCATCATCTTTGGAAGGCCAAGTATTTTCCTGTGGAGGTTTCGGATCTTTCTAGCAAGGTCAGAGGAAATGGCCTCTGGACTCACAAAAGTCTTCATCTCATATCTGCGGACAAGTTGGAAATCAAACTTAAATTCTAAAAATAAAATACTTCATTTTATTGTGTGTGTGTAAAAGCCCTGTTCTGGTTCCTTTGCAGCCCTCATTACTTATGGGCTATGTGCTCCCCATCACATTGTAAGACACACCACATGCTTCTTCACCTCTGTTCTAACTCTCTTCAAGAAGCATGCTTGGAAACACTTTCAGGTGGCTTTAGGTACTGACTGAAATACCAGTAGTTTCACAGATTAATGATAACTTCTGAGAGCTGGACATGCCAAGCAACAGAGTTTGGTACCCAGCATCTATATGGTGTCTCAACCATAATTCCAGTTCCAGAGGATCTGCCAGCCTCTTCTGGCTCCCTCTAGCACTAGGCATGCACATGGTGCACATTACATATTTGCAGGCAAAATGCCCATACACACTAAATGAAATTTTAAAAATTATATATAACTTTGCTTCGAGAGGGCGGAAAGTATGCCTCAGACACCAAACTGTAGACTTATTTAGTTATGTTGAGATAGGGTCTCTGTGGCCCAGGCTTGCTTCAAACTCATGGTGATTGTTCTACCTCAGCTTCCCAATGCCCAATTTCAACCCATCTGTTAGTACTGAGTTTGAGCTGTTAGTGAGAGAGCAAGTGGTCTTAGTGTTTTTCTGGGTGGCCATCCACAAGATGGGCAAGGATTGCAATGTCTTCAAGATGCAAATAAAGGAGGCAAGATTGATTGGAGAGGGCCTTACTTGTTCTGGTTGAATCTGGCATCCTACAAAAGAAATGCCAAAACATGCACTTAGCTTCCACATGGTCTTTCCCATCGGGAACTCTAGCTCTTTCTGCCTTAAGATGAGCTAAAAGTTGGAGACCCTTAATTACTAACTATGCATTTTCCTGTTCTCCATATTTCCTGACTAGGACTCTACAGCCAGTTCCTTTGCTCTGATTGCTCCGTTCCAGCTGTATCCTTAAATGGGTTCTGCCTCCCATGGTTAGGACATAGTGGAGAGCAGAGACCAGCCTGAGTTCCAAGTTGGAACTGATGTAGGGCAGGATGGTAACCACCACAAAGCCATTCATTGATGGAGCTCTTCCTGTGCACTGGGGACTGTGCTGAGCACCACACATGGGTTATTTCTCACATGGTTTACAACTCCATGAAAGAATGCTATTACCACCCACACTTAGAGAAGCTAAGACTCACCCAAGTGACGTAGTTGGAAGAAACTGACACTAAACTCAACATTGTCTGATGCTGGTCACATTTACATGGTCCTCATGTGTGCCTTGGGAAATTCTCTTAGTCTTTTAAGCCATAGAACGCATACCCTCCCCCAGCCCTTCTCAGTGGAGCTAATTCCCATTTCCCTTTCCTGCCTTTCTCCATCACCTCCCAGCTGCAACACAGTACCACCCTTCCTGTGGAATCCTCTGCTGCCCCACAGGGTGATAGGATTGTGGAGTTTCTCACTTGCAGAAGCTCACTTCCTGGCCGCTGACATTTCTCCTCCAGCTCTTCAACCTGGGCGCCCAGCCTGTGGACTTCCTGAGAGACCTTTGTGATGTACTCTTCCCTCTCCTCCCAGATCTGCTGTTCTAGCTCCTCCAGCCTGGTCATCAGGAGGTGCCTCTGGTCCCCAAGCTCCTGTGACAGCCTCTCAAATGCTGCTTCTACCTGTTGCTTCTTGCTTTCAACCTGCATCTGTAAGGATATGAGGAGGGACTCAGAACTAACTTTCTGAAAGATCATCTGTGCACTTACTGATTAAGAGAAAGAAGGAATAAGTAGTTTCAAGCCACGTTTCTTCAAATACTACAATGATAGGAAGAGATAGGTCTCAAGATAAACCTGGTAATAAGAGCTGTGCTGTTATTCTTAGCCAAGTATTGGAATGCCATATTGAACTCTTAGAGCCACATTGAACTAAAACAAACAAAAAACTTTCATAGCTATGATACCCTACTGTTTCAGTTTACTCTGTTTCTATGGTAAAACATGACAAAAACTATATTGAGGAGGAAAGGGTTTATTTCATCTTATACTCTACATCACATTCCATCACTGAGAGAACTCAGGGCAGAACTCAAAACAGGAACCTAGAAGCAGAGGCTGTGAAGAAACACGGCTAACTGGTTTGTTCTCCATGGCATGCTCAGCCTTCTTTCTAACCAGGACCACTTGTGTAGGCTGGACCTGCTCACATCAATAATCCATTAAGAAAATGTCCCACAGGCTTGCCAAATACAGCCAATGTGATGAAAGCATTTTTTTTCAACTGCTTTCTTTCCTCAATTCCACATTTAGAAAGGTTCCTCTCTTCCTAGATGACCCTAACTTGTATCCAGTGAACAAAAAAATTAACCAGTACACCTGACAAATCTTTAGATTCATATGGAGCAACTGTAATAACTTCTTTCTTTTCTTGAGATGTATTTCCATGTCTCATGTATCCTAGGCTGGACCCAAACTCAATTCACATATAGTCAAAGATGAGCTTTAGTTTCTGATCCTCTTACCTCTACTACCAAAGTTCTAGATTCACAGGTGTACATCGGAGCTTCCATTCTATTGAATGCTGGGGATTGAACCTAGGGCTGGGCTCCATGTATTCTAGGCAACCCCTCTTCATACTGAGCTATATACTCAGCTCAACACAGTAATCAGAGAAAAGGCGAAAGGGGATTGTAAGTCACCATCTGTGAAGCATGTTTTGATGGAATTTGAGAGATGCTGGAAAGAGCTTTCTGTCTCAATACTCTTGTTTCTTTGGTCAAAGTACCAAAAATACCTAGTGTATATTTTTTCTCTGATAACTGCACCATGAAGGAAGTGGTTAAGAAGCAGCCAGATCGAGCTGTTTCATTCATCTGCTGTCCTCAGAAACCTGAACCTAGACTCTAATGGACATCCATCATAGGCTTCCCAGCTGAAGGTGATGTTTCCAGTGGATATGCTGGGCCAAGAGAGCTGTGGACACAGGTCAAGAGACCTAATTTCTTGTCATTTCATCATGAATTTGGGCTTTGCCACTTGGCGTTGGGAGCACCACTTTTATGGACCCCAGTCTCCCCCTATGTATGAGTGGGATAAAGTATGTCTTGGATTAGAAGACAGCAGAACCACCTGCAGCCTCCATGCCCTGAGATGCCAGATGCTTTTGTGAGGGTGCATGAAGATGAGTTAGAAAATGCTGAAGTTCTCCTCAGCCTAGTAACAGACATTCCTAGTCTTTGAAGGAAACCCCCAAGGGAGCAGCACGGGGGGGGGGCTGTAATTTAGTTGGCACTCAGCATGTACAAGGCTGGATATCTGGTTAGGCATAAACAGGGTTTGGTGGCACCTGCCTGTAATCCGAGCACCTGAAAGGTGGAGATAGTACAATCAGCTAAGCAGTGGATTTGAGGCCAGTTTGAACTAACTACATGAGATCCTGTGCCTAAACAAACTAACAACAAAACAAAAGAACAGGAGTGTGGTCTTTACCAGGAGCTCTCGGAGCTTCTGGTCTTCTTGGCACTTCCTGTCTTCCATCTTGTCCCGCTCAATCCTCAGAGCTTCTAACCGACTCCTGAGACGATCCTATCGGAGAGGGAAGCAGAGAGGGTCCGTGAAAAATCCAACTGGCAAATACCATGTACTGTGTTGTGGACACACCAGTGAGGCCGACAGATCCAAACCCTCTACCTTCACCGTATCACCATCTAGGGCCGAAATTGGAGATGGAAGAGTGTGTAGTGTGCGTGCCAGCAGGGCGATAGGAACGAATTGGAGGGCTGAGAGATATCTTTAGACAGCAAATCTCCATCCCTTTTCCTTCACCCACCCGCGGCAGGCAGGTCCCCATCCTGCCCGCCTCAAAGCAGCAGCTCCGTTACTTACCCTGTAGGGTTGGATGGCTTCATCCAGGAACCCCACGGTGTGCGCCTGGTGGGCGGGGCCCTCCCTGCAGAACACGCAGAGCAGCTCAGCGTCTGTCTCGCAGAAGAAATAGATCTTTTCTCCGTGCTCCTCGCAGCAGGTCTCGCCCAGGGGACCCAGGGCCACTGGGGCCACTGCGGCCTGGGTTTGCTCTTCTTCTTCCTCCTGACAGAGCGGGCATAGCAGCTGAGCCCCCATCGGGGTGCGCGGGAGGCAAAGTAGGCAGATCCTGTGTCCGCAGGCTATGGTCACCGCATCCTGCAGGGGCCGGGCGCAGGCAGGACAGGCTACGTGGTGGAGTCCCCGCAGGGACCGGGTTGAGGGCATCACCGTGCCTTTTCCCTGCCGGTCCACACAATCTTCAGCCTCTGTCCACTCCAATTTCCTTTCCCTGAAACTGAGTCACTTTTGAGTGCGTCACTGTCACAGAGGCAAAGGAATCTGGGGCTGAAAGAAAGGCAGGAATGTCAGCTCAGCGAAGTCACCTGGCTCCGCCTCAGGCACGCCCAGAACCCAGGGCCACCACCCAGCAGCTAAGCAGGTCCAAACTCCAGGACGTCTTGAATACCCAGCGTTTCCCAGTGGCAGGCAGGTGACTTAGCTCTCTACTGTCGCCTTCTGTCCCTGGGGTGGGGAGCAGTGTATTGCACCATGAGGTCACTTAGAAATGGGGTTTCCTGGAATCGCTTGGCCACAGAGGGGTGGGACCGTTGGGGAGGAGCCGCTTCCCGTCACGCTGAGAAGGTGAGGGCCATAAATTTCGGGCTAGGAGGCCAGTGGTAGCATCAAAGTCCAGCCTATGGCGTTGAGACTGACTTCGAATCGCAAGTCCACATGCACGTTCCTCTGTTCCGTCCTTCCTTTTTTTTTTTTTTTTTTTTTTTTTTTTTTTCTTGTCTGCTTCCTTGTCTGCTGGGATCTGTCCTGTACTCCTAAACGCCCATGTGGAGCACCACCTAGAGCCTGGATTTCATTTTTTTTTTTTTTTTTTTAATAAGAAAGGTTTGTGTGTGTGTGTGTGTGTGTGTGTGTGGTGTGAGCACGCGCGCCACATGGGCAGGTCCTCTCAGATGGGTCCCTTGAAGTTCAAGTTGCAGGCAGCTGTGAGTTATTCTCATTCTCCTTAAAAGTGCAACAACTACTCTTAATAGCTGAGACATCTTTCCAGTCCTTCAATTTCAAATTTTTAAAAATTTTTCATTAATTTTTTTAATTTTTAATTCTTATGTATATGGCTGTTTTGTCTGTCTTTATGTCTATGCGCCACTGTGTTCAGTGCTTAAAAGGCCAGAAGAAAGGTGATGAATCCTTTGGAACTGTAATTTTGTTCTGAGCCTTTGTGTGGATACTGAGAACCCAGCCTGAATCCTCTGCAAAACAGCAAATTCTTAACCTCTCAGCCATCTTTCCAGCCTGGGTAATATGCATTCGGCCCCTGAGCAATTACTCCTGAACTACATATAATTTAATAACAACCCATTGGGACAAATGTGGAGAAGGAGATACATGTTGGAAGGTAAAAAGGACTTCTAAAGGTCAGAGAGTTTGGCAGCCACAAGGCTGGGACAATGGAGTGTTTGGATTCCAGCCCTGTTCTCTTCTCATACCTGAGACAAAGATCAAGCTACCAGGGTCCCTAGGCACTCACCTGCCCTGTGAACAAAGCTGGTCCTTTCTTCTGCTCACCAGCCCTTTACACCACCTGCTTTGTATGTCCCACACCTCTTCCTGCCCTGCCTACAGCAATACCCTTAGAACAACTGTCTAATTCTGCTTGAGCAGTGGTGTGTGGTCAACCCTGGCTGAGGTGTGCTGTATATAAAAGATGTCACATAAATACAGAGAAATGTGAAATATTTCTAGTATTTTATGTTGAGTATGTGTTTAGATAACATTTTGGAAACATTGGACCAGCTTAAATATACTGTTAATTTTGACCTTTCTTTTAATTTTTTAACATATTTTCTCAACCTTTATTATGAGAAACATTCAAACTTATTGATGCTGTGAAGGAATATTAGCTCGAATACCTTTGTGCTTTTCAACTACATCCTCTACTTGTAAAACTATTAGGCCACCTACTCTCTTTCCATCAATACAACATGTATCTCTTCAGTAGAAGAAATGTGCCCACACAACCACACTGTCATTAAGAAATTTAACATGGACCACTATGATGCCTCACCAGGAAGAGGCAGCTGCTGCTAAGCTGAGGACCTGAGTTCTCTCTCAGGACCCACACGGTTGAAGGAGGGAACCAACTCCACAAAATTGTCCTTTAACTTACACACTCATGCCAGGATACCAGCATTACCACCCCCCTCACACACACAAATAACAACCAGATAATTTAAAGAAGAAATTTGCAATCTATTAGTGAGTTTGCTGTCAATATTCAAAATACCCAATTGTCTCAATAACGTCCCGTTATAATTCTGTTCCATTGTGGCTCAGCACATATTGGCAGCTAGAACATTTTAGGTTGCATATATGCAATATGTGTCTTCCACTGAATTTTGTTTTCCATTTTCTTTTTCTCATGGCACATTTCATGTAACTCAGGCTGGCCTCTAAGATACTTTGTAAGTCTTGAACTCCTGATTCTACCAGCTCTCTCTACACCAAGTGCTGAGATCACAGGCATATACTGCCAAGTCTGGTTGTACTCTGTGCTGGTAGACTGCATTGTTTGGAAGACCCATAGCTTTGACTTGCAGATAGACCACAGCCACTTGTGCTCTAGTTGTTCATGGTGGATGAGGTGAGGTAACCTGATGGAGCTTGCAAAATGGAGGTACAGATAGCAGGATGTGACAGAGCAGAGGTGAAATAAACTGTTTAAAGTGCTTCTACCACCGGGAGATGTGTAGTCATGGTTAAAAAGTGCTGGCTCTGACTCTGTTTTTCCTCCCCCACACATTTTTTTCCAGCTCTCTTTAAAAGCATGTCATAGGCCCATGGAGGCATCACCACAGTTGCTTGTGTTGTGCACACCCCAACTCAGAGCCTTATCTGAGTCCCCACACTCTCCTGTCCACTGACTGTCAGGCCTCATGCTGGCTGATACTGCCAATCTCACTGGAGACAGGTGGTTATGTTGCAAAGCTGGGGTGGCAGCAGTACTCCGTGAGTCAGGCTCCTCCCTGCCCCCAAAGAAATCTCTTTTAACAGTGGACTGCTGGGGGAATAGACCACTCTCATCTTTCTGTGAGCAGCTCAAAGCAGGCAGAAAGGGACGGTGAGCCCGGGACCATGGGAACTGGTCCAGAGAGTAACTTCGGCATCTCTGGATGATGCTGTGAACTCCTGAGCCTTCCTCTTCTGCTACTTCTTCATCTCTGCTGTTGGCAGAAGTGTGTCTGCTCCTGGGAGAGCAGGACCAGGGGCCTCTGGTGCCAGAGATGCAATTGGGTCCCTTGTTCAAGAGTGTGTGACGATGTCTGTATCCAGACATGGTGTGCCTGTGAAGTATATTCTTCCCACCACGCAGAGATGGTGACTTCCAGGAAGCTGAAGACCCAGTGTGATTGACATGGCCTCAGCTCCTTCTGTTACTAGCCTGGCAGATGAGGTCAACTGCCCCATCTGCCAAGGCACCTTAAGGGAGCCTGTCACCATTGACTGTGGCCACAACTTCTGTCGTGGCTGTCTTACTCGCTACTGTGAGATCCCAGGCCCAGAACCGGAGGAGTCCCTCAGCTGCCCACTCTGCAAAGAGCCTTTCCGCCCAGGGAGCTTCCGGCCCAACTGGCAGCTGGCCAACGTGGTAGAGAACATCGAACGCCTTCAGCTGGTATCCACACAAGTTCCGGAGGTGGAGGATGCCTGTCCCGAACACAGGGAGAAAGTATACTTCTTCTGCGAGGAGGATGAGGCACAGTTGTGTGTGGTGTGCCGTGAGGCTGGACAGCATAGGGCTCACACAGTGCGCTTCTTGGAGGACGCAGCAGGTCCCTACAGGGTAGGAGAGGATCCCTGCAGGGTAGGAAAAGGCTCTAGGTGACCCTTGTGGGAGCTGGATTGGACCAAGGGAAGTAGAAAGGTGTTGTAGACTTTGGGGTGGAAGGGGTATCCTGACTTCAAATTCTTTCTCCTTACCTTGATCACCCAGGTAATAGACTCAAGCACAGAAAACAGGTTTATGGTTAAGAGCAAATTCTATGCTGTTTCCTTATGGACCTTATATAGTAGGAACTCAGTGAATCCTTTCCGAGTGAATGAACCACCAAATGTGTGTGTCCGCCCTGTATCAGTTAAGTATGTTTGAGGTTTGCACTTCAGGGAATGATCATGTTTGTACATTTACAAGAGTGAATGCCTTGTGTATGGAAGGGATGGTCTGAGTGTGATGTATTTGAAGTATGTGTGTAACTAAATGTTCCTGTTGTGAAAAGATAGTTGGGTGAATATATGTAGCATACATTTTTAGTTTGGATTTAATGAGCGTATTGATGGTTTTAGTTGCTTTTATACTGTGTTTTGTTACAAGCAGGTATCTATATGTATGATGTAGCATTTGTTAATGATCTTTTGATAGTGAGATTTTTTTATGTACTTTTTTTAAAAGACAGGTCTTAATGGAGGATTTCCTCTGATTAATTGTATAACCTAGGATGACTTTGAATTTCTGATTCTCCTGCCTCTACCCCCTTGAATGCTGGGATTATAGGCATGTGCCCCCACATATGTTTTATGCAGTGTTGGGAATTGAACCCAGGGCTTCTTACATGCTAAGTAAGCACTTTAATAACTGAGCTACATCCCCAGCTCTTCTGTCAGTGTTCTTAATCACACATGTGGCTATTTATGTGTTTGGTTGTTCTTAACTCTATTCTAGAACAATTTATAAAATAGTGCATCAATTATCTTTGTATGAAATTTTCTTCCATGTTGAATCATTTCTAGATTATTGGTGATAGTAAAAAAGAGAAGCTGTTATTTACATGTATTTTCTTTGGGTGACATGATTTCAGCTTCAGCAAAGAACATACAGAGCTGAGGTCATAGATAATACTTGCCACATGCAAAAGAAGGTAGTTGTTTAACCTGAAAAAGGTCTCAAAGGGTAAGCAAAGTCATGACCTTTGACGGTTCATGAGAGGGGGGTAAACACTGGTCAGACTCTCTGGAGCACAAAGCAAGAGGAACAAGTCTCAAGGCCAGGCCTGGTTGTGCTGACCTATGATCCTAATGTTTGGAAAATTGAGGCAGGAGGATCCTGAGTTTGAGGTAAGTCTGGGCTATGTAAAATCCTGCCTCAAAATCAGAATAAGGAAGAAGGCCCTGACTCTCTCAAGGTGCAGAGGTTCACACGCATCTTCAGGACATCTCATTTCCACAGACTGAAGGGAGTGAGGTCCTTTTATAGTTATTTTCTCCATCTTAGTATTTTATGCTCCTTCTCCCCAGGAACAAATACAGAACTGTCTTATGTGTCTAAGGAAAGAGAGAACAGAGATTCAAGAAATCCAGTCAAGAGAAAACAAAAGGATACAGGTGCTCCTGGTAGGCCTCCTCCTCCCCAGGCCCAGCCCCTTGCTCCAGAGTCTGGGGCCACCAAACAGAGACTTGAAGGTGTTGAGTTTGACTCCTGACTCTGATGTTAACTCTTCCATCTTGAGCAACTCTCTAGCTTTAGCTTACTTGCCTGTAAAATGGAGATTAAGATTCATTTCTTTACTGAATTACTCACAGCAGGAATTAGTGTAATCCTGCCTCTAACACCTTAGTGATGTGTACACAATGTGTGCTTCCTGCAGGGCAAGAGGCCAGGCATCTCTGGCGTCTCTGGGCCCCTTTTAGAAGCCATAGTAATGACAATAAGCCATGCTGAGGCTCTTGAGAAGTGGGGTGGCAGGCAGAAAGAACACAAGCTGCAGCTCCACATCCATGCGGGGGTCAAGGAGCAGGTGGGAGTGGGGGACTCTGATTTTGCTGTGGGGAGAGGAGGATTATGGGTGAGGGGATGGAGAGGAGGAGAAGAAGATTCTGATGTGGGGAGAGGAAAATGTCCTTCTTGGCTCTCATTTCCTTCTCAGACTCAGGTGGCCACCAAGAGACAACAGGTGATTTCCCAGTTCACACATCTGAGTCAGTTCCTAGAGGGACAACAGAGTGTCCTTTTAGCACAGCTGGAGAGGTTGGATGGGGACATCCTGAAGCAACAGGAAGAATTTGATTCCCTGGCCACAGGGGAGATCTGCCGGTTCAGCACCCTGATCGAGGAGCTAGAGGAGAAGAACAAGCAGCCAGCGAGGAGGCTCCTGACGGTGAGACTGGGCATACTCTCCCACCTGGGGTCTCAGTGGTACCTCCTTTACATCCATGGCTCTGCATCCAAGATGGGATGTGGGACATAGGGCCAGGAGGCAGGATTCTATCTAGTCTGCACCTCACCAAGAATTCCCTGGTCATGGTGCTCTCTGTCCTTGGTCTTCTTTCCTTCCATCCATACAATGGGAAGAAGTTGCTATTAAAAACTACCAAGCACTGTGCAAACAACTGCCAAAACTTTCCAAAGCAAAGTTTTCATAACTTGAATGTCCCTCTCCACTGGCCAGGGAGTTCTTCCTACACTGTAATAATTTCTTGAACTGGAGGAGAGTTATTGGGGTTCCAGCAGCATGATTTAGGGGAATGCACTGGGTACTGGGAAATAAGAGACTTTGATGTAGGACTTGTGTACTTTTGCTTGTAGCTAGAAGTTGGTCATATCACCAACTCTGTCCATGAAGCAAAGGAGTTGGGTGCTGGTTTCTGGTCCCCATGGATCTGTTCAAGGCTAGGAATATTGCATTTTGGGTTTTTTGTGGATATAACAAAAATAGAAGAGAAAAGCCAGATACTGAATCTCTCTCTCTCTCTTTCAGGATATCAGAAGCACTCTAATAAGGTTAGTGATACAATGCCTATTTCTTCTTTTCACATAGCCATCCATGCCCCACCCACCTAGTTATTGCTGTGCAAATAAGCCACACTCTCATGAAGGGTACATAGTCATGTGGAAAATCTATTCATGCCCTGATGTGTTCTCATATACTGCTGTAGATCTACCCATTTGTGTAGCAGTAGGGTCCATCTGAGAGGATGGGAAGTTTGTGCTCCAGGCCTTGTTAGAAGAAGATGGCATCCTGGAGCCATCATTTTAAAAAAGAATAATTCTAGGGACTAGAGAGATGGCTCAGGGGTTAAGAGCTGTCTTAAAGACCCTGAACTCAGTTCCCAGGACCTAAAAGCAGTTCACATCCATCTCTAGTTACAGTGGATCCTATGCCCTCTTCTGTTCTCCACAGACCCTGCATGTATGTGTTGCACATTCATGCATACGGGTAAAGGACCCATACACATAAGATTAAGTATTTTTTTTCAAATAATAATTCCCAGACTGCCATTTCTGTGCCCCTAGGTGTGAAACTAGAAAGTGCAGGAAACCGGAGGCTATATCCCCAGAGTTGGGCCAGAGGATCCGGGACTTCCCCCAACAGGCCATCCCTCTGCAGCAGGAGGTGAAGACATTTCTGGGTAAGGGCCCCCCCCCCACTAAGGAAGGCCTTCACAGCATGCTGCTGTACACACAGCCCGAGCTTGGTAATGGCCTCCTGACTCCACTACCAGATGACTATGTATTTTAGCATGGTGTAATCTCCTTTAGTACCTTAACTTTCTTATTTTCCAAGCCCGATAAAATCTCTCAGGATGACGCGGCAGTGAAGAGAAATAAAAAAAAGTGAAGATTTGGGGGTTGGGGATTAACCTCTTAAATCTGACCAGTTGACATGAAATAGTAGAGAAGATAATGATTAACTGCATCCATCACTCTTTGTCATCAAAAGGTCTCAGTAGCATGAGCAATGCATTGTGTTTTGATGTCAGACTGTATTAATTAGTGACAGTATTTGCCTAACTGCAGAAGCTGACCCTCCCCTCCTTTTTTGCTTTCTTTCTGCTGGTTTTTGTTTGTTTGTCTCTTTTTTTGTTTGTTTGTGTTTGTGTTTTTGCTTTTGTTTTTGTTTTTGTTTTTTTTTTTTTTTTTTCACTACTGAGAGTTGAACCCAGAGTGTGTGTATGGTAGGCAAGCACTCTACCACTGACCTACATCCCTAGCCTTTTCCCCCACTGCTTTTTATCAGTCTGGCTTCCTAAACTGAGCCACCCTCATAGGAACTGAACCACACTCCTTTCCCACAAGGAGTCATAATGGCAGGCAGCCAGGAAAGTTAGAAATGTAAGTTGTGGCTTTCGGCTCCCCATGAACTGTGACATCATGAACAATGCCACTTATTTCTAAATGTCACACCCACAAAAAACATGTCCCTGGGAGGACATTCCTGAAAGCCTGCTTCCTGCAAGTACTCCCATGGACTAGACAGTAGAGGAAATTTTACTCTAATCAAAGGCTGATTTTTGGCTGGCCCAAACATTATTTCCAAGTAGAAGAAAATGAAGTGAACCCACTGATCTTTTCCTTAAGTAGATGTGTGTGAAGATTGAGAGGTAGGCAAGGCAGACACAGTCCCTGTCTGCTTTTCCCTGGGACTCCAGGCCAGGAACATTAGTAACCCCTGAGAGCTTGTGAGCATGTGTTATCTGCAGCCCTGCCCAGAGTGTCTTCATTTGAAATGAGAATGGGTGCCCTAAGAGGTTTGGGTGCAAGCACAGGTTTAGAAGCACTGGTCTAGAGGATTCCAACTTCCACTCTTCTCTCTGTTGTTTCTGTCTTCCAAGCCTCCATTTCCCCATCGCTGAGTGCTCTGAAGCTTCGAGATTAACGAAAACTCATCTTGTCATTATTTCCTCCTTACAGAAAAACTCTGCTTTGAATTGGACTATGAGCCAGGTGAGCAGCCTATGTTAGGATGGAAAGAATAGAGGAGTTCTGGATCCTGCACTGTGCACTAAAATACTTATACAGACATGCACACATCTCTCTCTCTCACACACATGCCTCTCTCTCTCTCTCTCTCTCTCACACACACACACACACACACACACACACACACACACACGGCAGGTTACACAGCATACATACACACCCATAGCCATAGATTTCACATTCAACCCTCAATAGAAAAACACTGCTTTCTGTTGAATGTGGTGAGATCCCCCCTATTGCTCCTTAAATAGTGTAGTATAACAACTATCCTCATAGCATTTACATTGTATTATGTAACGAGAGCAACCCAGAGATGAATTGAAGTGCTTTGGAGGGTATTGTAGTGTATATGTAAATAATATGCCATCCTACATAAAGTACTTGAGCTTTGGTGAAGTTTAGAATGCAAGGGGGTCATGGAAACAATACCTCACAGATACTGTGTTATACTGTATGTATAAGGCCCCTAGGAGAGCCATGAAGCAAGGACAGGCACATACATATTCCTGATAAATCTGGTCTCCAGACCAGTACATCTATAGTGGGCAAAATAATTGGACCACAAAAAATGAATATGACCTATTAGGGTACCCTTCTAGAAGAGGGGAACTTTTGTCTGTTTAGAGTCACATTCTCGGAATTGTCAGAAAGCTCTACTCCCTCTCAGATGTTAGTTTTTAAATTATAGAAACAGGGCAGCTAATAAGAGAGACAAGAACTAGCAAAAAGAACCCCTTTAATGCTATTAGTTCCCCATTGGCTAGCCAAAGACCCAGGAGAGTTATGGAACTTTTGGGAGGAGCTCACTAACCTGTGGATAAGTCTGTCTAGAATTTTTGTTTGCTTGTTTTTTGTTCTTTGAGGCAGGGTCTCACTATGTAGCACTGGCTGTCCTGGCACTTACTATGTAGACCAGGCTGGCCTCAAACTCAAATCACAGAGATCTATGGGGTTAGGGTTAGAGGGTTAGAGTTAGGTTAGTGTTAGAGGGTTAGGGTTAGGTTAATGTTAGGGTTAGGGTTAATGCTGGGTTCAAAATTATGTACCACCATGCCCAACCTCCTTCAGTTTAGGAATGTTAAACATAGCAATATATAGGGAGAATTGGGGGGCTCTAAAAAGTGGCATCCAACAGTTTAGAATGATTGAAGGAGAGTACATAACCCCAGGGTGAAGAGGATGGAACGCTGTACAAATGAGTCATGGTATCCTCAGGCAAAGCAGGGAAGACACTCTAGGCTGCAATCTAAAGGAGGAAAATATCTGCTTCAGAGAAAAAGGCTGAAGGAGAGAATGTACATGGAGACTGTGTGAGGAAGGCTATGTGACCGGGGAGGCTGAGTATGAAGGGAACCATGTGAACGGAGGTGGCTATTAGGGACATACTATGCTTGGGGAAGATGTATGTGAGGATGGCATATATGAGAAGAGGCAGACTATGTGTAAAAATGACTGTGTGGGGAGTGTGTATGATTGAGGAGGCTGTGTATAGGGTGGCTGTGTGCGAAGGTAGCCGTGTCTGAAAGAGGCTGTGTTCAAAAGGATGTGGGGAAGAGGCTGTGTGTGATGAAGCTGTTTGGAAGGGAAGGCTATGTGAGGAGGCTATGTATGAGAGTGGCTGTGTATGGTGGTGGACCTGTATGGGGGGGGCTGTGTACGAACTTGTGTGTGAGAGTGACTGTGCATGATGGCGGATGGGTGGGAAGGGTTCTTAAAGGGGTTCTGTGCACGAGAAAGGCTGTGTGTGAAGAATTGCTGTGTGTGAGGGAAAGTGTATGTGTGAGGGGTTACTGTGTGTGTGTGTGTGTGTGTGTGTGTGCGCGCGCGCACACGCGCGCGCGCGCGCCAGTGTGAAGAAAACTGTGTGTGAGGGAAGCGAGTTGTAATGGTAGCTGTGCATATGTGTCAGTGTGTGAAGAAGCTGTCAAACAGCCATGTATAAGGTGCCTGTGTGTGAGCGTGCCTTGTGTGAAGAGGCTGTGTGTGGAGGAAGCTGTGTGCAAAGGAAGTTGCATGATCAAGGCTATGTGCAAGAGAGGCTGTGAAGGAGGAGGCTGTCCGGAGGGCTGTATGTGAGGGAAGCTGTTTGTGGGGGAGGCACGTGTGAAGTGTGTAATGTGTGAAGGCGCACCGTGTACAGAAGCTGCATGAGGCTGGCCTTGTGTGAGGAGACTGTATGTGAGGGTCTGTGAGAGTGGTTGTGTGTGATGGTGGCTCTGTGTGAGGGAGGTCACATGTAAAGGAGGCTGTGTATGAGAGGAGACGCTGTGAAGGGGGGGATGTGCATGCAAATGCATAAGTGGCTGTGTGTGAGTAAGGTCAGTATGAGGCAGGTTGTATAGGAGGGTGGTTGTGTGTGTGGGGGGAAGGGAGGGTGGCTGGGAGTTGGGAGAGAAAGTGTGAGAGAATGTAATGAGGGGCCATGTATGAGGAGGCAGTTTGTGAAGGTGCCCATGAGTGAGGCAGGTCATGTGTCAGGGAGCCCTTTTTTCACCAACAGGAGGCTTGACTGTATAGCTGCATGGCATTCTAGGGTGGCAGACAAGCGAAGGCAGTGTGCTCTGCTCTTTGCGACTTTTCTGGCTCTAATTTTACATGCATTCCCTTGGCATTCTTTTAGGATGCAGACCTTTAGTCTGTAGGTCTAACCATTTCCTTGGCTCTGATTTAAACACATAGATGGTTTAACACTAGCAGGCAGGTATGGAAGTCAGCTTTTAGGCCATCCTAGTAAAACATAGCACGTCTGCTGACATACTTGTTCCTTGTTTTATTCCACAGCCCATATTGCTCTAGATCCCCAGACTTCCCACCCCAAGCTCCTCCTGTCTGAAGATCACCAGAGGGCTCGGTTCTCCTACAAATGGCAGAATTCGCCAGATAGCCCACAGCGTTTTGATCGAGCCACCTGTGTCCTGGCTCACCGTGGCTTTACAGGAGGGAGGCATACTTGGGTGGTGAATATAGACTTGGTCCATGGGGGCAGCTGTACTGTAGGTGTGGCGAGAGAGGATGTGCCACGGAAAGGAGAGCTACGGCTGAGACCAGAGGAAGGAATATGGGCAGTGAGACTAGCTTGGGGCTTTGTCTCAGCTCTGGGTTCCTTCCCCACAAGGCTGGCCCTAGAGCAGCAACCCCGGAAGGTGCAGGTGTCTCTTGACTATGAGGTAGGCTGGGTAACCTTTGTCAATGCTGTCACCCAGGAGCATATCTATACCTTCACTGCCTCTTTCACTCGGGAGATCTTTCCCTTGTTTGGACTCTGGGGCAGAGGGTCTAGCTTTTCCCTCGGCTGTCAAGAAAGTGCAGTTTCCCTCCTCTGAGTATGAGACTAGAATCAAGCACCCTGGGGCGTTGGCCCTTGGCTGGGTCAACCAGGCACAAAAATGACTATTTTTTTTTTTTTTTTAGACAATAGGGATGCCATATGTCAGTAAGAGACAAGGTGGTAGGACTTTTAGTCTCTTCATTGCCCAAGCTTTTCCCCAGTGCCCATCAGGTGGTCAGGGTATCTGGGACCTTGGCTGATGGCACAGGAATAGATATACAAACAGTGCTGGGTTGTAAACCTTTTAAAGACCTGGGTTCCAGAAGAAGTCCTGTAATCAACCAGCTGCATGATTTCAAGCAAAACACTTTACCTCTTCATTTTGTTTTCTTCCAAAAGTATTATTTAATTTATTCATATCTTCAAGAAACATTTTGGCAGAGTATGGTCAAAACACACTGAATACATGAACGGAATTGTGAAAGAATAAAGACATTATTTGATAAAGGAGCATCTTCTCTCTTCTGCCATCATGTACCATACACCTGAGATGGCTTCTCACATGACTTTCAGGCCCAGTGTGTGCCTTCGATTCTGCCACCTCCATGCCAACCAACATCAGCCAGTGGCTGAGCTGCTGAACCTACAGGAGGTAGATGAGTGGCCCCGAGTCAAGTGGAGGTGGATGAGATGAGAAAAGTGTTGATACCCACCCACCTAGGCCCAGTGCATTTCATGTGATGGCCTTGACCCAGCAAAATTCTACACTTAGTCCTCACAGACCCAGGTGGTCCCAATACAGGGAGTTGCACCATTTTCTGGTGGTCAATATGAAAGGCAATGACATCAGCAGTGGCACTGTCCTTTTGGATTGTTTGGGCTTGGTCTGCCAGTGGCACCGGCCTACGCTGCTACATCTGGCTGGTGTACCAAACAGGACCAGCCACTGAAGAGTGACAAACCCATCTTCAGCAACAGGTCTAAAGATCACAGTGGCAAGTTTGCCACAAGAAGGATCACCTGGGAACCCCCGTGGCTGGCATATCTTACCAACCGGAATGGGATGACTAGGTATGCAAGTTGTATTAGCAGCTGTCTGGGAAGTAGGGGTGTTTTGGAGGCCAGTGGTCTTGGAGGCCCCTCAAATATTGTCAAATTGTGCATAGTGTGCTATTTCTCTTCGTTCTTTCCTATCTCGAAGGGCCAGTGACATCTGTAATTGGTTTAACAAGGAGAAACTCTGAGTCCAGAGCCAGCACAGTGCATCTTTGCAGATGTGTTTTTATGGTCTTGTCCCCAGTGAGACCACTGTAAGCAAAACTCACTGGGCTTACTGGATGTGTTACCCGAGTGTTCAATATCAAATTAAAATAAAAACCATTGGATTCAAGTTAAAAAAAAAAACAAATAAATAAAAGGACTTTCAGGACCGAGTGATTCCTGGCAAGAAACAAAAGCAAAATTATCTGTCTTTGTAGTTACTTTTCTATTGCAATGATAAAACACCATGACCAAGGCAGCTTACAGAGAGAGCTTATTTGGGGCTTACAGTTTCAGAGACTATGACCCATCGTAGAGAGCATGGAACAGGCAGACAGGCATGGTACTGGAACAGTAGGTGAGAGATTATATTTTGATCCACAAGCATGAGATGAAGAGAGCTAACTGGGAATGATGTGAGCTTGTTAAAACATCAAAACCCACACACCTCCAGCAAGGTTGTACCTGCTAATTCTTCCCAAGCAGTTCCACCAGCTGGAAGAATGTTTTATTTTAACCTCTGGAGTTTGGTCATGTTTAGTTGGGGATCTTGCTTGCTTTTATCAGTTTCACAATGGTTAGCTAGTTGGTTCTGTACTGAAATACATGGAACATTTCAAAAGGAGAGAAAAAAAACATTTTTTTTTCTTTCTGTGCTAGCTATGAACAAGTCATGGTAGCCACTGGTAATTTGAAAAGAAGATGAAGGAGCACTGGGAAGACAGTGAAAAAAAGACAAAACATACACACCATGTGGTGGCTGCTGTGGTAGGAATCTGCCTAGGCATTGTGGATACTTAGAGGAGGGGATGCTGCCGCTGCTGTGTCTTCAGGGAGGATATGATGCACATGGTGAGAGAGAAAAGGAGGGAGAAGGGGGGACAGCAAAAGCTGAAACACCTGGTGTTTGCCCTCCCTCAGATGCTGGGTCATCTCCACATCCTTGAGGACAGACATGTACCATCCCCATCCAGTCCCACCCACTGCCTTTTCCTGGTGGTGTCAGTTTTAGGTGAGGTGAAGGTCAGTCAGGGAGACAATGTTTTGTTTGGAGACATTGCTGGCTGGTCAGAGTTTGCAGCCTCCTGGTGGCCTAGCGGCTTAACTCAATAAGCTCAGCAACATGGAGCTCCTTTCCTTCAGCTGAGCTTCCTATCTCTACCTGCTCTTATCTAGAGGATTTCCCTGGGCCTGGAGGACTGACCTTATCTAAAAGCTGTCTCTAAGCCAGATGCCTGATTCATTTCTAGCCTGACCCTCGGCACAGATCCCTGCTGAGAAGACGTGAGCTAGGGGTTCTGCTAAAGGAGTCTACTGCCACATACTAAGCCTTGTGATAGTGTACCATGCAAAGCAAATTAGGGTTTGTACCCAGGCTCCCCAATCCTATATATTCCTTATACTCTGGAATAAAATTGAGCTGATTCACAAAATCTGTCTCCTGGAGGGCTATCTCCATTCCTGTTCATGGGCCAAGTGCAAAGCTTTCTGTCACCAATTCTGTCTCTTTCCCCTCTTGACCTGGTAGCCACTAGCCCAAGAGGGAAAGAGGACTCCCAGAGTGGTTATGGCCATAAACCATAATCCACGGACTACACTCACCTGCTGGGGAAACTGTCTTCCTGATCAGTTGATTACCAGCTGAAATTAAAAAGGAGATGATGGTTCCTCCTTGAATCCTAGTTTCTCTGGCGGTGTGAATTGTAGGCTGGTGAGCCTTTGCTCTATGTCTAAAATCCATATATAAGTGAGTACATACTATGTTCCTCTTTTTGTAACTGGGTTACCTCACTCAGGATGGTTTCTTCATGTTACATCCATTTGCCTTCAAATTTCAAGATTCCATTTTGTTTGTTTTGTTTTTTTTTTCCCCCGCTAAGTAGTATTCCATTGTGTAAATGTACCTACCACATCTTCTTTATCCATTCTTCAGTTGAGGGCATCTAGGTTGCTTCCAGGTTCTTGCTATTACAAATAATGCTCTACGAACATAGTTGAACAGATGTCTTTGTTGCATGGAAGTGGATCATTTGGGCATATGCCTAAGAGTGAAATTGCTGGGTCCTGTGGTAGACTGATTCCCGTTTTCCTGAAGAACCGTCATACTGATCTCCAACATGGCTGTACAAGTTTGCACTCCCACCAGCAGTGGAGGAGTGTTTCCCTTTCTCTATATCCTCTCCAGCATAAGCTGTCATTGGAAGCTAGGATACAAGGAGGAGCCTAAGAGATTCATACAAGGTCCCCCATATAAGGGGGAAGAGACAAGATCTCTTGAGCACATGGGGAGCAGTTGGGGGGTAGTGAGTGGAGAGGGAGTTAAGGGAAAGAGAAGGGGAGAGGAGAACATGTGGGACCAGGAAGATTGAGTTGGGGGGATGAATAGACGAGAGAAAAAAAAAAAATAGAGGAAGCCATTATAGGTTTGAAAGAAAATGAACACTAGAGAAATGTTCAGAGACCTACAAGGATGGCCCCAACTAAGAATATAAGCAATAGTGGAGAGGTTACCTTAAATTCCCTTCCTTGATAATGAGATTGATAACTAACTTATATGCCATCCCTAGAGCCTTCATCTAGTAGCTGATGTAAACAGAAGCAGACACCCACAGCTAAACACTGAGCCGAACTCCTGGAATCCAATTGCAGACAGGGAAGAGTGATAAGCAAAGGGGTCAAGACCAGGCTGGAGAAACCCATAGAAACAGTTGACCTGAACAAGGGGGAGCTCATGGACCTCCATACTGATAGCTGGGAAACCAGCATTGGACCGACTCAGACCCCCTGAACGTGGGTCTCAGTTAGAAGGCCTGAGCAGTCTCAGGGACCTCTGACAGTGGAACCAGGATGTATTCCTGGTGCACGAAAGGACTTTGGGAGCACATTCCCCATGTAGGGATACTCCCTTAACCTAGAGGCAGGAGGGAGGGCCTAGGCTCTACTCCAAATGACTTGACAGATTTTGATGATTCCCTCCTGGAAGGCATCACCCTCCCTGTGGAGTTGGGGGAGGGAATGGGCATGGGAAGGGGGAAGAGGGAACTGGTATCGATATGCAAAATAAGAAAACATAATAATAATTAAAAATGAAGAAAAAAAGGAGATGATGGAGGAGAAATAGTCACAAATAGCTCAGTTGCATCACCTGCACTCCTGTGATGGAGTAAGGGGACCCCAGAAAGATGCAGGGGGATGATTTGGATGGCCTGTCACCTTTAGACTAACAATACACTAGGACTGTACAAAAGGTGAGCTGTGTGGGAGGAGGTAGGATAGGGGAAGACTGGGGATTAAAGATAAACTGCCCTGAAGTGGAGAATTCTATGGGCTAGAGGAACCTGGGTAGAGGCAGAATGCTATAGTCATGTGGGGTCTGGATAACTCCAGAAATATCCCTGCTTGAAAATGGTTTGGGGGCCAGGGTGGGTGCCTGCAACGTGGAAAATTATATCCATCATCTCAAAGTGGTATTTTAAATTTTATGCACTATAAAAGCATTTTCCTTAACTTTATAGGGTGGTTACGATGAATTTTCTAGTCCTTAGTGGATCTACACTTCATTCTACCTAAACTTGCCCTTTGGTGACAGTCTACTTAACATCCTGGATGTTTACTCAGTCATAAACTGCATCTGTGAGGAGACAAATATGCCATGGTACAACTCTACTGGAGAGGCCACCAGGAGCCTTGGGCCTAGGCTTAGAATCACCTTCAAAGCGGGGTGTCTCTCTTCCACTCAGCAGATAGAAAAGACCTTGCAATTAGGGGCTAGAGATCAGAGGTTATTGAGTGAATTTCTCCAGGATGTTCAATATTCCCTAGAAAATATATGTTTGGAAAATAAGGGTATGTACAAGTGTCTTTATAACACTAAAACATATACACAGGCCCTAAGCTTCATGTTCCACTAGAAAATGGACTATATTTTTCTGTTTCTTTGTATTGGTTTTACTTGAGCAGTTAAAATGACCATGAATCTCAAGAGGCAGTTGTGGTGCACGCCTTTAACCCCAGCACACGGGAGGCAGGATTGTCTCTGTGAGTTTGAGACCAACCTGGTCTACAGAGCAAGTTCCAGGACAGGTTCCAAAGCTACACAGAGAAACCCTGTCTTGAAAAACAAAACAAAACAAAAACCCAACCAACCAACAAACAAACAAAAAACAACCATGAACCTCTAAAGTGTATATATATATATATGAAGTTCTCTTCCTGCTGTAAGGCATTAAGTCCCTTATGGTATTTATTTTGGTAACACTATGAGATATATTCTATTGTCACCCTTCTTTTATGCATACTTTGTATATGTGTGTGCATGGCTATATGTGTGGGTACATATGTGTATGGTTTCATGTACACATCTGTGTGCATGTGTGTGGGGCCTGAGGTTGATGTCAGAAGTCTTTTTCAATCATTCTCATTTATTTATTTGGTAGGGTTCCTTGGTTTGGGAGTTCTGAGTTTTCCCTGCAAGGGCTAAGAGTATAGGTGGCCACTCAGCTTTTACATGTTCTGGGGATCCAAACGCCAGTCTTCATACTCACACAGCAATCATTTTATTTACTGAGCCATCTCCCTGGTCTTTATTATGCCCTGTTCAGCATGAAGGAGACAGCTGTGTGTGGTAGGTGTAAGTATGTCTCAGTAGGTAGAAGCAGGAAGGTCAGGAATTCAAGGTCAGTCTCTGCTACACAGTGAGATAGAAAATTTGATGCCAGCCTGAGAAGAATTAAGCCCTGTTTAAAGGGAGAGGGGAGAGAAAAGTGTGGGGGTAGGAGGGGTAGCAAGTGAGAAAGAGAAGGGCAGACTTGAGGCCTGGTGAAATTTGTTGTTGTTTTTTTTTTTTTGCGCATCCAAGATCATACAACTGGGACTTTACAACCACTGTCCGACTTCTGAATTCTTAAACACCATTCCAAACTCTTTTGTTTGGAAACTGGTGGTTATGTGGCCCTGGTGAGAATTTGATGCTGATATACTCACTACAAGTGACTGCCATTCTGATAGATAATTTGTATTTCTTAAACTGAGAACTAAAACTGCTAGTGAGTGAAAGTACTCCTTTTAACCCATCAGTGTACGCCCCTTCCTAGGGCACTGTAAAACTCACTGCCTTTTACAGGGGGTAGATTTGATGACCTCTGGGTGAGATGACCAATGAACCTCCAGTCTGTTCTTTCTGGAGTCAGACTCCATTGCTTTTCACAGACTAACTACATCTATGTAAGAGCTCCAGGCTCCCAATTGCTCTTTACCAGACCCCAGAGAAGTGTCACACACTTTATCTGATACCCACAGGTTTAACCCCTGACCTTGTAAAAGCTTTTCATTGCAAAGAAGAGAGACTCATCCCAGTTAGTTTAAATAGGAAAGTTTATTATAAGAATAGATGCAGAAATAAGAAGAAACAAATTCTTATACCAAGTTTCAGGTCATAGGGAAACTTGGCAGAGGCAAGGCTAAGAAGCTGAGGCACTACCAGTTCCCAGAAAGAGGATTTATATCCAGCTTTGCCCACAGAATTCATTCTCTTGCAGCCGTGAGACTCCCTGATTCCTGTCAGCTGGAAGATTAGGCTTCTCTAAGAAACTAAGAGCTGCCTATGTATCTTTCCCCTTAGCACCACTAACTTTATCAATAAGAGTCTCTAGAATGCATCTATTAGTAACAGTCCAGTGGAAGGAGATATGGTCATTTCAGTGGCCTCCATCGCCTCTGCTGTATTCCTTTGATGAGAAGCACATCACAGATACCACCACTTTGTCCCACTCGGGTGACAAAGTTTCATGAGGGTGAGGACTGTGGAAATCTCCCTTGAGTCTGTTTGCAACCGTCACAATGAATGAACAACGAGGGCAGTGCAGACAGAAGGTTCTATCAGAGTCAGAAGAAATTTTACCCCAATAAACCTGTCTGGCTCCGTATGCTGAGGTGGCTTCACACTGGTGACCTGTGTTGTCCAGATGCTTGATGCTCACATAAGACCATGGACAGTAGGTGCTACCACCCATTTACAGGTAATATAGAGACTGCACAAATGGCCCTGGGTGTAATGGAGGTCTGAAATGCCTGGCCACAAGGAGCCACAAGCTCGTGTGTGGCTTAGGAAGGAGGCTGTGTCCAAGTGTCAGGGGTTAGGGTATCAGGTGAGAACTGTGGGGGTGAGAACACACCAGGAGAACTAACTGGGGTTTGGGTTGGCTGCAGGAAGATGAGAAAGAAGTCCTTCTAGTTTCTGTGGTGCACTCCTAAAAACAAAGAAATCATTCATGAGTTCATACATATTCTATTGAATCTTCCACTGCCCATGTAGTATGAAAGTACCAAGTATGTCACCTTGACTTAAATTTAGCCCATATACACATCTATGTCATGTGGGTCTGCATATGTCTTCAAGTGTGGGGTAGAGGGAGAGGGAGTCATACCTGTCCAGTAAGTCACTGGCATCCTGGGAGAGAAAGGGTGACAATCAGTCAGTTACTATGTTGTTGACACTGAATGTACTTCCTGGTTCCTGCTTGAAGGCCACTCTGGCTGCCACCATGAGAGCTGGAGGGCATAGCACCTTTCTCCTGCTCCTTATTCTGTTGTATCGTGTGACCCTGTACAAACCACCCTCACCACACTCAACACACACACACACACACACACACACACCAGGAACACCTCCCCTTACAATTCTCAGGAGGGATCTGTTTACTATTCAAAGAATCTCCCTGAATTTAGGGGTGCCTTAGGAAGTACACCTTCAGAGTGCTGGCATCCAGTTCCTTGGCCATCCTTTCCAGGCCGGAAGCCAGGATGCTGAGCTGTGTTACTGCCACTTCTGCTGGTAGGTCCTCTTGCTGGTCCAGCCAATTCTGAGGTAGGGCCTTCAGCTGTTCCTTGGTTTGGTCTTGGTTCATCAGCTCATCTCTTAGCCCGTGGCTCTCCCAATCCACCTGAAATCACAGAAGATTTGATGATAGAGCCTCTGCCTCTATGTACTGTACTTCTAAGTGGGGACTACTGACTTCCACTCCTCTTCATTCACGTCTTGCCTCACCAGCCACTGTACTGCAGAAGGACTGTACTGCACAAAGCACCTCCCTACCTACCTCATGATTCCAAGCACATCTACAGATACTGTGTCCTGCCATAGTGGAACACACACACACATACACACACACACACACACACACACACACACACACACGCATGCGCAGGTGCGCACGCATGCACACTACTCAGCTATGTTCTTTTGATGTCAGCTTTTAACTCTGTGAGGAGAAAGCTTGCCCAAGTGAGAGGGATAGAGAAGTGATTGCCAAGGACAAGATGTGTAGTAATTTTTCAACTATCTATTTTAATTCCCACCATGTACTCAGGAGAATTTTTTTTCCTTAAAAACATTCACAAGTCATTCTGTTCACCTATCTCAGAGCCAAGCCCAAAACCTAGGTTTTCAGCCCACATGACCATAGTTCCACAATAGGCTGCTCCAGGGACAAACAGTTGTCTGCAACAAAAGTAGAGGTCCTTCAGGACTCTAGATCATCCCTGGGACTCACACTCACCTGCAGAGCCTGCAGCATCTCCTCTTTCTGAGCCTTAAGCTGTTGAAAGCCACCCAGGTCCTTTCTGAGTTTCCTCCTTCTGCGGTTGAGTCTTTCCTAGACACAGACAGAGCTTTTGTCGGACTGGAGGGTGAGGCAATATCCCAAGGAATCAGGCATGACCCTGTTCACCTTTAACCTCAGCAGTCAGGAGGTAGAGACAGCTGGACATCTGAGTTTGAGGCCAGCCTGGTCTACACAGTGAGTTCCAGGTCAGCAGGACTATGTATTGAGACCCTGTTTCAAAAACCAAAACAATGGGAATTTTGGGGGAGGGAAGAGCAGTTGCTGTCCTTCAGGAGACCTAAGTTCAGATCCCAGTACTCACACTGGGCAGCTCTCAACTGCTGTAGCTCTAGTTTTAGGAAATCCAGTACCCTCCTCTTCTTTGACTTCCAAGGATACACACATACACACAAAATTTTTAAAAGAAAGCAAATATAAATAATGTCAATAATTCTAAACGCATGAGACAAGATTGGGACAGTGCAGGTGTATCATTTACTATGTTTAAAAGGAGTAAGACAGACTCCTCTGTCTTTATAAACATATTTAAAGATTTATATTTATTTTTAAGTATGCATATGAGTGTGTGTTTATGTGTAAATATGTACACATGTGTGGGTACCCAAGGAGCCCAGAAAGGGCACAAGATCGCACGGAGATAGAGTTACAGGTGGTTGTGAGCCACCTGTTGTGGGTGCTAAGAATCAAACATATGTCTTCTGAAAGAGCAATCCATTTTAACCACTAAATTGCCAAACCCTTTGTGATTGTGTGTGTATGTCCTTGTTGTTGTTGCTGCTGCTGTTGTTTTGTTTTGTCTCAGGGTTTCACTACATAGACCAAACTGTTCTGGGATTCAGAGATCAGCCTGCCTCTGCCTCCAAGTGCTGGGGATAAAGGTGTGGACTGGCCCTAAGCCATTACATTGTATGCTAACATGAAAAAATAATTAATTATAGCAATTTAAAACAAGCCCTGATTATAAATTCTCCAAATGGTACAGGACATCTCTGGACTTGGACTCTCCATCTGCTCCCCGCACCCAGGCTTTGTCCTGGTGCAGGTTTGATGTCACTTGGTCACATTAAGAGTCACCCTCTGGTTTAGTTTGTCATCAGTTCTTTTACATACGTGCAGACGTTCAGACGTGAAGACGTGCAGCAGACACTCACTGTTTTCCTTATAATGAACAAACAGTCTTATTTATTTTCTATACTTCCTCTTATTACTTAAGTATAGACCTGAAGTCAGTAGTCATGAATCACCTTTGTACTTCCTCCCGATGCCTGGTATGACACCTTACAGAAAGTACAGACCTGAGTCAGTCATTCAAGGATGGAGGAGAAGAGGAGACCTGTCTTCTCACACCTGACTCATGGCGCCAGGAAGCCCCATCCCCTCTGCTGTAGACTCTGCACTTAGTAGGTACAGAACTCAGTAGAACATTGCCCTTTAAGCTTTCTGAATCATTCTCTACATTTGGTTCTGATTTAGGCTCCCTCGTTTGTCATTGCAGATCATGACAATGTTCTTTGAAGGCCAACTGTCTGAAAGACGTTGAAAATTTTCCCTTCAGGGCTAAGGAAGTAGTTCAGTGACGGAGCATTTGTCTGGCATGTGTGAGGTCCTGGGTTCAAACCCCGGCACCACAAAGAAAAAAAAAGAGAAAGAAAATTCATTATTGATAGGAAGACCTGACAGGGAAGCAGGCACAGGACAGTCAGGGGAGGGGAGTCAGCTTTGGCTTCTACCATGGTATCCCTAAAGCTTTGGGTTCTTAACCTTTGTATGTGCCCAGCAACAGTAATTCTCACTCATGGCATTAATATGCAGATCTGGCTGAGAACAGAGATAGATGGAAGCCAAGTGACTGCCAACTTGCTCATGATGCTAGAAGCAGAGGGGCAAGGGGGGTTAGAGAGTGGGATCCTAGGGGTGAGGGTGTAACGATAGTGTGAGGCCATCAGGATAGGATGAGTGAGGCCGCTCCACAGGAAACTTTGAAATGGCTAGAACTCATTTTAAGGGCATGGCATCATGAGAAAATCTCAGCAGTATTTAACATCCCCAGATGTGTCATCTTTGGAACAACTGGCAAGAAGATGCCAGTGATGGAGTGGAGGGTATAGCCGAGGGGAAGAACACATCCTAGCATGTGTGAGGCCTTGAGTTCAAACCCTAGAACTATTCTTAAAGAATAGCTTTGAAAAGAATAGAATTAAAAAGGAAGACCTAAGGTTTGGAAAGATGGAGATGTAGCCTGGCAAGAAGTTTTGGGCAGGGGGAAAACAGCAAAGGAAGAAAAGCTAAGTGTGGTGCCAGGTATCTATAATCCCAGCACTCAGTGGGCTAAGGCAGGAGGATTGCCATCAATTACAGACTAACTGGGACTACAGAGTACGATCCTGTCTCAAGAAACATAAACAATAGGGCTGGAGAGGTGGCTCAGTGGTTAAGAGCACAGGCTGCTCCTACAGAGGACCTGAAACCACGTGGCAGCTCCCAATTGCCTGTAGCTCCAGTTCCAGGGAATCTGATGACCTGTCTATGCCTCCTCTGATACCATGCAGTTGGTGCACATATATACATGCAGGTAAAACACTCATCATGCACATATAATAAAAATAAATTAAATTTTAAAAGAAAAAAGAATACCTGCCTAAAAGAAGAAGAAAAAAAACAACAAAACCTGCCCACATTACAAAAGTACAATTCTTAAGAGGGTTTAACATGGTGAGTCTGGTGGCATATGCCCACAATCTTAGTTACTCTGGGGGCTTGCAGCATGGGAACCAAAAGTAAGATTAAGTCTCAAACTAAAAAGTAAAAAGAAGACTGTATATTTATCACAGCAAGATTGCCTTGCATGTACAAGACCCTAGGTTCAGTCTCTATCCTTAGTACTGTGGGAGAGGAGGAACGGAGAGGGGGAGGAGGGGAGGGGAGGAGGAAAGGAAGGAGGGAGGTGAGAAGGAAGAGGAGGGGTCTGGCACACAGGCAGGAACATTCAAACTAATAGAACAGGACAGGATCTGCATGGGACATTTAATAAATGGTAGGGGAACAATTTGCTGTAATTTGAAAAGGTTAAAATTAACTTTCTCTCTTCTATTTTCACCAAAATATCTTGGATATTTTAACTTCTCCAAAATACATGCTCATAGTTATTCATCATAGCATCCGGTGTAACCTAAAATCAATCACCTATGAATAACCCAGTATCCCAACTTTGATTTATTCATAGAATTGGACAGAATGGAGTTGTTGAAAGATGTACAAGAGAACTGGATGTACTGATGGGAAAAATGTCCAAAACATATTTTTTAGAGGATAAAAACAAGATACAGTAAAAAATTGAGGGAGCCAGAAAGATGGCTGTGTGGGTAAAGGCACTTGCCACCGGGACTGATGGACCGCATGGTAAAGGGGTGAACTGACTTCACAAAGTTGTCTTCTGACCTCCACATGCATGCCGTGGCACCCTCCCCCACATCATATTTACAGACAATAATAGATAAATGAATAGGGTCCTCTATGCATTCTATTTCTTTGAAGCGTTGGGGATTGAGTCCCTGGCTTCATTTATGCCAGGCTACATCTCTAGTGTCTGTCTCTGATTCTCTCTCTCTCTCTCTCTCTCTCTCTCTCTCTCTCTCTCTCTCTCTCTCTCTCTCTGTGTGTGTGTGTGTGTGTGTGTGTTTTAAAGAGAACATTCAAGCACACAGCTTTCCTGGAAAGGTAGATTAAAAGAAATCTAATGCTGGTTACCGCTGAAGACTGAGAATGAGGACTGGAAAAAAAATCTTTATTATTTTCATTACATCTATTTGGAAGTGGGCACACACTGTGGAGCTTGTGTGGAGGTAAGTGGACAGTCTGTAGAATTCATTTCCTTCCTTCTATCATGTAAGTTCCAGAGATTAAACCCAGAATAAAGCTTGATGACAAGTTCTTTTACCCCCCCCCAACTATCTCCTATCCCAGAGGCAATATTTTTAATTTTGCTATTTAATCTTTAGGTGGTGCTTAAATTTGTTACCAAAAGTGTGAAGCATTTTTAGAAAAAATATTAAATAGATCAAGAAACAATAATCATAATCAATAAAGGAAGGGAAGGGGGAGATGGGACATCACGTACAAATTTTCAAATCTTTGAAAGGTAACTGTTAGCACAGATAAATCTTGATTGCATGTCTAGACTAGGTTCTAGACCTATCCACCAGGGAACTTGGGGAATAATCTTAGTCCAGAAGTGGTTCTCATTATCTAGTACAGAATCTGGGACTTTGCTATCAGAGTGGCAGGGTCACCTAGATAGACACACAGCCACCTGGAAATCCTATTAGCAGTGAGGCACACAGAAAGCAAAGACCAGGGCTCCAAGTTGGATGACTAAGAAAACTCAAAGAGGGCATCAATTACCAAGCCCCTGCTTAGAAGCAGTGACTCGTGGAGCCGGTGGCAGGGGCTGGTGGGGGTGACACAGCTTTACCTTGTAGTGGCTGATGGCATTTTCAATGGAGAGCTCAGTATGAGACTGGTGTTCAGGGGACTTGAGGCATTCCACACACAGGAGATGTCTGCTTGCCTCACAGAACCTGCACACCCTCTTCTGGTGACTGAAGCAGATGTAACTGGCTCCAAGGACCCCCTCAGAGCAGGGCTTCCTGCAGACTGGGCAGCTCAGGACCCCAGAGACCGAGGCCTTATCCATGTGCTGGGTCAGACACATTCGGCAGAAGAGGTGTTTGCAGTCTGTGCTCACAGCCTCCTTCGGGGGATCCAGGCAGATGGGACAAATGTTCTCCTGGTTGTCCTCATACAGAGGAACCATGGCCGCTGCCTCAGCAGCCTCCACACTGGGTCATTCGAAGGTCAGACTGTGCCAAGTGAGAGGGCCCAGGGGAAGCTGATCTGGAGTAGGATAGAGTGGGCTCAGGACTGGACTTCAGGTTCACCCTGGATCAGAGACGCCACAGCCTGGGCTGTAAGAAACACAACCTGGCAGGAATTTCAGAAACAGCTCAGTGTTTTCTAAACTTAAAATTATCCTTTCTTTCTTTCTTTTTTTTTCCCATACACCTGGAGGAAGCAGGTGATCCAAACTCCAATTCTGTTTTGACAGTTTTCTGAGGAATCTTTTTACAGTTCAAAGCTAAATTTTAGGCCATGGTGTCACGGCCAGAAATAAACTATCAAGGACAAGCCAACAGTCTTCTTTGCTGTGTGGCTTGTGGGAAGAACTCAGCCAGAGTTTTATGTATGTCCCCCTGTGCTGGTAACCCACAGGTGTCACTGTTAGTGTTTGCTAGCACCGGCCACTCAAGGTGGAACCTTGTCAGCAAGTCTTCATTGACTACCAAGTTTTCCAAGACTGCTGTGATGTCACGGTGAAAGAAAGAGAACAGGAGGGAGGGAGGGGGAGAGAGAGAGAGAGAGTCACAGACAGAGAGAGCATATACTATTTGAGGCTATATTGTCCCTTTCTTTCAAACAACTTCCGAGGGTGACCCAAAGAAAGACGTACTCCTCCTCCCACTTTTTGTCTGAGCATTCTCCCCAAAACAGCTCTCCTACTAGCCTACCTCAAATTTCTCCTATTCAACTTCAGGTCATTTTCTTGGCCTCTGGACCTAGGGAGAAGACCAGCAGATGAGCCGTTCTTCTTAAGTAATGCCAGTTATATATACTCACATGTCAATAAAACTAGGAAGAAGGTGAAGAGATTCACCCCGCTTTATCAGTGAATTATGGGGAAAATGAAATGTACCCATGCTCTGGGCTCACTGGATGGTGACACAGACTTTGCTGCAGGGTGTGGCATGTTTGCTTACCAGGAAGAGGAAATTCTTGTTGCCTTTAAAGCAAATCTCACAGGACTTGAGAAATGCCTTACCGAATGAGTCTCCCAAGACCCCCACACAGAAGTTGTGAGTGTGTCACGGGACCATGACACCTGGGTGACGCTGGGGGCGGTCCACACCATTGTCCTTACCGGTTTTAGCTTCAACAGTAGCTGTGTCTGGAGGATACCACTAGGTATTTGTTTCTCTTCTCTTTGTTGTAACCACATACCTGGCAAGTGGCCTGAGGGAGGAAGGGGTTTATTGGGGCTCACAGTTTGAGGTTACTGTCCATGGAGGAGAAGGCATGGAGGCAGGAGTGGCTGGGAGCTAGAGCAGCAGGAGCATAAGGCCGCTTGCTCACACCGGGTGGATCATGAAGCTGAAAGAGACACCTGGTGGTGTTCAGTTGTCTTTCTCCCCTTTTCCCTTTCAGTCCGGGATCCCAGCTCATGGAACAATGCCACACACTTGAGGGTGTTCTTCACCGATAACCCCGGGCAGTACTATCCCTGCCTCCTTCTGAAGGCTGCTGCCCACTCCAGGGCATATCTTTCCATCATTTCATACCCTTTAAGCCTAGTCTAGTGTTGAGTACCTTACGCCATCCTTCAACAACCTGCAGTCCTGTGAGAGAAATGTGAAAGTTGTCAGAATACAGATGGATGGATTTATGTTACCCTAACAGCAGCCACAGCAAGCAGCATTTCTTTCTTTTGGAGGGTTTGGGGAGGGGGTCAGAGTTGAGGTAGGGTCTCGTGTGGCCCAGGCTAGCTTTTTTTTCATGATATATTAATTTATTTTTTTAATTTTTATTTTACATATCAATCCCAGTTCCCTCCCCCTCCCTCCTTCCCTCCCTCCTTCCCTCTCATGCCCCCTGACCACTCTCCCCTTCCATCACCCACTCCACATGTAGGGTGATTCCCTCCAGGAGGGGTCATCTAAATCTGTCGAGTCTTTTGGAGAAGGGACTAGGACTTCTCTCCTGTCTCTAGTTTAAGGGAGTATCCCTCCATGGGGAATATGACCCCAAAGTCCTTTTGTGCACCAGGAATACATCCTGGTTCTACTGTCTGAGGTCCCTTAGACAGCTCAGACCTTCCTTCTAGCTGAGACCCATGTTCAGGGGGTCTGAGTCAGTCCCATGCTGGCTTCCCAGCTATCAGTCTGGGGGTCCATTAGCTCCCCCTTGTTCAGGTCAGCTGTCTCCATGTGTTTCTGCAGCCTGGTCTTGTCCTCCCTCTCTGCTTCTGGATTCCAGTTAGGCTCAGTGTTTAGTTGTGGGTGTTTGCTTCTGTTTCCATCAGCTACTAGATGAGGACTCCATGATAGTGGATAAGTGTAATGGGATATTCACTTTGTCTCCTTCTATGGCACTGACCACGCCCATTGGGGGTGGAGCCAGGGACGGAAGTGACCTGTGGAAGGAGGTCTAAGGAGGAGCCCGGGGATGCTCTCTTGCTGGCGGGTTACAGAGAGGAGAGCATCCGGTGGAACTTGCTGGTGTTCATCTGTCTAGGTTGTAAGTTATTTCTCCCTGAATAAAACATCTATTCGGCCTATTTGTTTATCCTGATCCTTATTTAACTGCAATATCTGGTGTCAGAAGTGGGATACTCTCTCTGTCTTCCATCTTGACTCCTCCTTACTACTTCCTCTTTCCTCCTTGTCCCCTAGTCCCTCCTATCTTCCTTTCCTATTGGCCAACAGTGCTTTATTCATTAACCAGTATGAGAAACATATTTACAGAATGACATCTCCCATCAGATAAGTTAGTCATCGATCTCATTATCAGGGAAGGGCATTTATGGTAGCCTTTCCACTGTTGCTCAAATTATTATTTGGGATCAGTCTTGTAGGTCTCTGGAAATTTCTCTAGGTTCAGTTTTCTCTTCAAACCTCTTTTATGCTCTCTCTCTTTTTTTCCTCTCTCTCTCTTTCATCTATTCCTCCCCTGATTCAATCTTCCTAGTTCCACGTGCTTTCCTCTCCTCCCCTTCTCTTTCTCCTAGCTCCCTCTCCAATCACTGCCCTCCCCACTCCCCATGTGCTCTGGAGATCTTGTCCCTTTCACCTTCTGTGAGGGACCTTATATGAATCTCTTAGAATCCTCCTTATATCCTAGTTCCTCTGGCGGTGTGAATTATAGGCTGGTGATCCTTTGCTCTATGTCTAAAATCCATATATGAGCGAGTACATACCATGTTCCTCTTTTTATGACTGAGTTACCTCACTCAGGATGGTTTCTTCAAGTTCCATCCACTTGCCTGTGAATTTCAAGATTCCATTGTTTTTTTTTTCCCCCACTGAGTTGTATTCCATTGTGTAAATGTGCCACATCTTCTTTATCCATTCTTCAGTTGAGGGGCATCTAGGTTGCTTCCAGGTTCTTGCTATTACAAATAATACTGCTATGAACATAGTTGAGTACATGTCTTTGTTGCATGGATGTAGATCATTTGGGTATATGCCGGCTAGCCTTGAATTCTCCCCAACGCTGAGGAGGGTTTTTGAATTCTGATCCTCCTGCCCCCTCTTACCAAATTTTGAGATCACAGACGTGACCCACCGTGCCAGGAATGAAATCCAGGGCTTCATGTATGCCAGACAAGTACAGCATAGCCCACTACATCCCCAGCACCATCACTCAGATTCTTTTTTAAATGTGTATGGACAATTACAAACAAATTCCTGTGCTATTTTATCAGTTTACACAGATAGTGACATCTGGTGGACTGGTGCTTTGGATCATAGGCAGTCCCCTCTGGATTCTACATTAGCTGTTGGTTCTTTTTCCGCTTCCAGCCATCCTGGTATTCTGACCCAAGATGCTCTAAGGAGAGTCAGGGTGTCCTTACCATTGGCAACCATACTATCAGGCCCCAGTGAATTAAATTTTCCCAGGATCCTCACACCAGGGAAGGGAAATTATGAAGCTTTGTGCCAGTCAGAAAAAGAGATTCACACAGCTTTGCCAGCCTCACTTCCTACCAAATTCACATATGCATATTCCCTGACCATTCTTCTTGGCTATAGAATTGTAAGAGTGCCTCTGAGAAGGTGGGAACTAAGAGAATTTCTTTCTCTGTTTTGGTTAAGCTAAATGAAGCCACTATCCTTTAAGCATTTCTGTTTCCTAATTCTTTTTCTGGCACAGGGAAACTATTGGGCTAGGGGACTTAATTTTCCTAAGGACCACACCACACTCCTTCCTGCTGCAGTGAAGTGAACTTCCAAGACAGGCCTGCCTTCAGAATTTACTCTGCCTCTCATAGTGCAGTCTTGGATGTCATCTCATCGACTCAAGTTCAGTGTACCTTCTAATCTTCTAAATTATTATAGCCAGGATTACCTGAAACTCTACCCAAAATGAAGCAATGGAGTGGCTCCTTCAGCTAAATGTTTTAGTAGATGTTTCTATGCAGACAGTAGATGGTGCTACCTCCCAGGATAGGACATGACTCAGGCCGTCACTGAAGGATTGGAAAGCTGCTGCCACTGTCCTGTTCTCTCTCTCTCTCTCTCTCTCTCTCTCTCTCTCTCTCTCTCTCTCATTTTATTTATTTTCGTATGTATGTATATATGTATGTATGTATATACACTTTGTGCTTAATGCCCACAGAGGACAGAGAGGGTATCAGAGTCTCAGGTTCTCTGTAACTGAGGTTACAGGCAATTGAGTCACGTGGGTGCTGAGAACCAACCCTGTGTCCTTTGCAAGAGCAACAAGTGCTCCTATGCTGAGCCATTTCCCCAGGCTCCCATTTCTTTCAGAAGTTACATCTGAAACTAAACAGAAAGCTTAGGAATAAACATGCTTGTCACACGAGTTTGATGACCTCAGTTCCGTACCTAGAAGACATGTTAAAAGCTGGGTGTGGTGGTGCATATGTACAATTCCAGCACTTCCAAAGCAGGACAGGAAGCAGAAGAGAGAATGGGCCTGGAGTACTCTGCATAGCAGAAACAAGGCAGGCCCTCCTGCTGCAACTAGGCAGAAAGTAAAAACGGACTCGCAATGCTTGTCCTCAGATTAATACATGTCCTTATGTTATATATGCAATGACATGGTCAGTACACACACACACACACACACACACA